GAAAACTGTCAAAATACTTTCTGTCGCGCGCTTGATGCTTTTTCCACATTTTAAGCGGGAGAACGCGGAGGTCGCACCTCATTGTCATGAGGTTCCGTGACGCACATCAAATGTTGCGATGTACATGGAAACTCGTAGGGAAATTCATCTCCCGAATCCGCGGAAGTGCGAAAATGTGTTCGTCGAAGTACTTCCTGCCGCTAGTGTAGGTCATCGTTCCCTTTCCGCGGGCTCTCACGGACAGCTCCCCAACAAGGAGACGAGAGATAGAATACGTTCGCAAGGAAAGAGTTTCGTCGCTTTCCCCGCATAATTGGAATGCGGTCCGAAATAAAGACACCCGGTTTCCATTACTGCGTGGACTGCGGGAAGCGAGTTGCACAACCCTCCTGACGCCCATTCTGCCCCCTTGGACTGGATACCTGGCGGGGATTGATGCCACGTCTGGGACGTGTCTCCGAGCTATATTCACCTTAGGTCTCGACGCTAGGGTGAATGAAATCTAAGAGCTCTGCGCACCGCCCCACACACGTAGCTTCGTTCCTTCGCGATTCCTGATCTGCTCTTAATACCCGAGTCATACTCCCCTGAGCGAATCATCTGATTCGGGTCCATTTCGGTCCCCTTTCCGCACGATTCCGCTGCGATCCTCTCGGAATTGCGGGATTCTGCCGCCCCTTACAAGGATGGAGAGTTGATTTATGTTGGAGTGGGGGAAGTTAACCTTTTTAAACCATCTTAACCTAACTTTTTACTTCTTTAAACTTCTTTTTAAGGTATTCGCCCTGGCGAGAGGGTCCCGATTCAAGACAGCCGACATGGGTCCTGAGACGCCGGAAGCGCATCCATCTGACAGGACTGATGTGAGCTCGAATAATTCTCGTCTGTCCCGAGCATGAAATTGTTTTGCTTCATCGGTTTCGCGACCCTCAAAAACAAGCCTCACTGAGTGAGACCCCGTGATGGAACTGGATGTATTTTGACGACAACCCATACCGCGATTACTCGTGGGATCTCCGCGAACGTCGGACCTGGCTAGAGCGATCGGCGCAGGGAAGGAACTTGGGGTACGTCGCTTCGCAGCTCGGCGTTGTCTTTAGAGAATGGTGCCGCCAACGAAAATGGGTCGACTCGACTGAATCGACCCAGGGGAGAGTCATTCGATCATTCGGAGCAAATCATGATTTTTCTACACGAGAATCAAGCTATGTCTACCCCTCTCTCCCTCCCGGATCATCCCTCTCTCGCTCAAAGTCTAGTCCGACCCGTCTTCGATCGTATCTCATCTGTGATCCAACTTTCTCAGGAGGCATACGCTCATCGGTCTGCTCTGCTGGACGCCTCTTCTACGCCATCTCGGACTTCCGGAGCGCGCACCGAAGAATCGGAACCAATCGCGGATCATCGAGTTCGCTCGGCGCTCTCTCGCGAGGTGAGCTCGTCTGACGCATCATCATGAGGCCTCGCGTCTTGATCTTCTTGCTTATCTGCATCGATCTCCGTGGGACTCAGGAAAGTGACGCGGCTCCCCTTGTCCTACCCTCACCAGGACAATGGGGGTCGTTGTGCATGGTACTGATTTTTGCGTTGAGCCTGTTTAGCACCATGGTCGAGATTACGGGCTGGGCTCCGCGACCGCTGTTGAAGAGCTCGTCAAAGACTTTCCAGCCTCCGATCGAAACTGAACGGATGCCCTCCGACGAGACTAAACAGCAGCTAGAAGCGGGACTGGCGGTGATTGCGCGAGATGCGCCGCTCATCGCCGCGATTCTCTCGGAGCTGCGCGAATCAACGAACAAGGACCAGGCGCTCGAGATCCTGCAAAGAGCGGTAGATTTCGTTGCCTCGTCTGACAGTGACGATTGTCTGAGGCGAATATTGTGCTTCGTCGCTGCCGGGGAGAACAATGTGGAGAAGAGATGGATCGAAGGAATCCGGAAAACACTGCGGGTTCTCCCATCTCCTGCAGCGCGGAGCTATCTACTGGCCATGGACCTCGGGAAATCGGCAGCGAGCGTAGGGACGTGCGGCAACGTCTACAGTCTCTGTGAGATCCAAGCCGAGACTGTGGCGCAGTACATGTTGCCCCTCAACTCCTCCTGATGGATGATCTCAGATGTGATCTCGATTTGCGGTGGATGAAGGTCTTCAGTGATGAGGAATCAGATCGAAGAACACTCAGAGAAATCGTCAGAGACGAATGGAAAAATAAGTACAGCGAACAGGCAGGTAGCATGAGGGACTCTTCCAAGTAACTTGTGCATTTATCAATGGAGTATTTATTGTTAACCGAGGAGGTCGGGAAAGGACTGAATAATAGTTACACAGGGAGGCCATTCAACTTCCTATATCGGTGCATCGAACGAATTTGAATATTGCCGCTGAAGGCGATAGTAAATAGTAACCAGCGCATCCGTGTGTTATACGGGGTTCTATAATGGCTAGCCACAGGATGGGGAAACTTGAACGGTTACTTGAATATTTCATAACGATGAAATCTAGATATTCAACGTAAGTCTCAATTATAGATAACTAGCGTGCCCGGTTGCGCTTCGCTGCGAACCGTGAATGTATTTTCTTGGAACAGGCAGAGGGCCATATGAATTGGATGAAAATATTTAGTTGATTCTCTGTTAGCATTGTTGTTCTCATTTCTCGTTTATTGTAATGAATGTAATCAATATTCCGATATTGAATGATGAACAATCATTCGAATTACATCATTCATTTATTGGGTTCATCGATGGGAGTCCCAGTTCTTTAAACTGCTCATACTGACCCTCTTCTGACCACCATTCCCGTAGTCGATTTATGTCAGCATTCAGCGACTGCTTGTCGATGATTGTGCTGTCCGTCGTATTCAAAACTTTTTTTCCGGAACATTCCCGGACCAAGAGATTCGTGAAAGAAATACTTTTTTCTTCCATGCCTTCAAGATCATGGGATGATCCCCATATGCCCAAGTTGACAATTCTATGCGTGTCCTCGACTATACGGACGTTTTGTTTGATTCTGGTAATTTCCTCACGACAAGCCAGATTTTGAGGCACTCCGATGTCGTACACAATGCCTATCAAATCGACGACTTTATTGGTTTCGATGTTCGCTATCTCTGCGGTAGTAATGTTGTTCACGCTTGCTTTCGGTAGATTTTTTGCACGCCAATCTAGCAGCTCTTCCATCATGGTTTCCGCTGAGTCGGGCGTTTGCCGTGTAAAGACCATCAATTTCTAACCTCGATTCTCGATGATCAGATGATTCATTTGCACGGAGTCGAGCAACATTACTCCGAACGGATTCTAATCGCGATTCTCTTTGCGTGTTGATCTCCAGCGCCAGAGTCGCCCTCCGCTTCGCGGCGGAACGTGTCAACCGACCAATTTATTGTCGCTTGGGGGGCATGACGGTCGCTTCAAAAACGTTCTTCTGAAGATTTCCTTTTGAATGACAAAAGAGCAAAGCTTACCTCCTAGGGATGGCCACGTGAACATCACTCTACAATGTTCATGTCGATACTGCCATCCCATTGGTCGAATCAGCTCATGCTCATTCCAATAACGATGAGGACGAAGTAACGACAAATGATTATACGCGATTACGTAGCGATCCATTCGATGCAAGTTGAAATTTTATTGGCGCTTAGCCTTCTCGGGTATATAATGATCTCTCCCTCCAAAAATCTTGGCTGCATGTTCTGTGGTTATGGAATGCATAGCGAACAAACAGACATACATGCGATTTTTATACTTAGAGAGAAGATTATAGATGGTCAAATATGCAAATGCAAATGGATTGAACCTCGACACAATAAGAGAATTCAATAAAGATCTATTCTCATTCCGGAATTTTCCTTGTTTGTCGGAGTGAAGTAGTCAAGTAGGTCATCGTTCCCTTTTCGCGGGCTCTCAGGGACAGCTCCCCGACAAGGAGACGAGAGATAGAATTCGTTCGCGAGGAAAGAGTTTCGTCGCTTTCCCCCGCCTAGTTGGAATGCGGTCCGAAATGGAGACACCCGGTTTCCATTCCCGCGAAGTTGAAGAGACGACGATAAGGGTTAGGTGATGGAATTCCTACGACCGACAGAGAAAAGGAAGCATGACATAAAAACCCAGCTTGATGGCAGTGGCCTCATGAGGTCGTCAGCCGAATGAATTCCAACTTCCTCTACAGAATAGGGAACCTTCTCGTCTTTCGAGTCACGGAGACCAGATTCATCCGAGACAGCTCGACTAGAAGCCTGTATTCCACCCTGACCGATCGGAGCTTGTTCTTTAAAAGCGATGATGAGCCGGCCGGTGAGTTCCTCCATTTCCATTTGGGGCTCATAGCGGATATTTCTCTCCCCGTGTCAACGGGTTGAAGAAACGTCTCATGCCGGTCCGGTATTCGAGTCGGTTGTCGGTTCCCACATTTTCGACCTTCTCCGATCCTCCCCATCCTGATCGGATATGTTCCGACTCCCTCATTCACGAATCATTGGTCGAAATAAGTCTCCCCCCCCCTCATGCTGCCACAATCTTCGAGAATATATCTCTTGTCTGACGCGTGAGTGTATTCCCGCGACAAAAGAAGTTAGGGAGCTAGGGTGATCGAAGGGATATCCCACCAACATCAGGACGTTGAGCGAAACTTCCTACCCACCCTGTCATCATCTCGTCGAGCATGCTCTGTGGTGGAAGAATCCCCACCAGCAAAAAGGAGCAGGGCCTGCTCTCCGTCTCCTCTCCAAGATGGCGGCCCCCGATCGGCTGTTGTCAGTCTAGCGGTGGCTTGTCCAGCTGCACTTCGTGAGCGGGGAGTGGAGCCGACACTGAGGAAGGTTCAATGAACTGAGGGATCAGCTGTGTGTCAGTGTGGAATCTCTTGAGAGTATCCTGTCGTGGGAGGCCCGGCAGTGCGATCGTCTGTCGGCGAACGACATCATCAAGTGCGCATTTCCTTCCGCTTATAACGCAGGAGTCTGGAGTCGGTCTGCGACTGCGACCTGAGCGGCCTCCGGGACGGTCGACGGCTCCAAGTTCCGATGTGACCTCCGAATCTATCAACGAGGTTCGAGCAGCTCCGAGGTAGTCACTGATCGCGGACTCGTTTCACGCCAAAAGATCTCTACGTGAGTTCAACTTCTCCAGAACTCAACGGAAATCGACTTACTTAGCATATGCGGGCCGGACAACACGTTCCGCCCGCTCGTTTCGCAACCGCTCATAAACTTTGCTCCATCGCGGAGAGCTCCGGAGTTATTTCTAAGGTTTCAGATTCGAAAGTGAGCGCTCGGCTCCGGAACGAAACTTAATCTTGAGAAGCAACCAAGGTGATAGTCTGATTACAGGTGTTCAGGCAAGCTCAGAAAATGCCGCTGTTCGGAAAGTCGAGCAAGAATCCGGTCGAGGTAGTGAAATCTCTCAAGGAATCTGTCAACGCCTTGGAGAAAGTGGACAAAAAAGCCGAAAAAGTGAGTTGAAGACGGCCGGTCTAGAGTTCGTCGAACATTCTGGTCATGGTGCGGAATCAGACAGAGACTCAATCTTCGAATGAGTCAATCCGAGATGCTCTCCCAAACACGAACGAAATCCGGCGCAAAGGCCTGGACCTGCCCAGCTGAGCGGGACAAGGAGAATCTCAGGGGTTAGGAGGGACGCGCTCGGCGACAGTGCCCCAAGTGAAATCGCCAAGCCTTGGAGAACTCTCGTGAATTCGGCGAACGCCGCTTTCGGCGTTCTCCGCAGAATAATCTCGGGGCTATTCGCATTAGAAATCGTCTTTGTCAACCGGAGATAGAGGGATTCGGTTGTAGACATCCGCGTAGCGTTTTAAGCTGTACAAATTCGACCTTCTGCATCCATTATCAGCGGAGGGTCAAGCTTTTCGCAGAGAGAGCCGTGGAAGGGTCGGCCCCAGCCGACGTACGCCTAAACGTAATTTTGCCGCGGGGCCGAATTCAGTAAATTGATCCTCGTCAGCTTCCGGCCGCTGACTCTCCGCCAGGAATCGCTAATTAATCGGATAGCAGCGTGACCGCGAGGCCTTCGCCGCTCAGGGATCGCTACCCCTATCCCTTCCACCCGAATCACTCCCAAGCGGACGTAATTGCGGCATTTGTCGGGAGACTACAGTCAAAATCATCCTTAGCGCGATCGCGGACTGAATCATGATCGGTAGAGATGCTGCGGCGCTTCCCATACTGGCGTAGAGTCTTCCATCCATCCCACGATCACAAATCGAGGCATTGTCGTCATAGCAGCAAAATAGACCAGCTTGCAGCAAAACATGCAGCCGTAAGAAAAGGAGCATTGGAGCGCGAAATGATCCTTCCTCCAATCAGTCGGCTCCGGAGTGCAGCGAATCAGAGCTCTGCTCCGACGACGGATTCCTTCCCGAGCTGTCGTTCACAATTAGATTTCCGAAGCACTCCGATTCTGACGACTCCGACGGCAATTCTTACGAGAGGGCTCCGGGGAGAAAAAAACTCGAAGGAGACGACAACGTAAAAACAAGCGAACGACGGAGACGGCCGTGTGAGGGCGTGGCAGAATTTGCACAAGGCCGCCGTGACAGCGGTGGTCTATGTTCTCGAATCTGTCTCCAATCTTTATTAGGTCTCGGCAGATCATGGGAAGCTTTCATCATCCCGATCGGGGAATGGTGTCAGACAGTCACTGCGTCTCAATGAGATCTCTATCTCCGATACGAACGTTTTCGGTTACTGCTGGGTCGACTCCCTTTGATTCCCTCGAATGAGCTTTTGGCGGAGGAGGAATATTAGCGATCGCGGCGCGGCGGCGTCCGCGATTGTAGGGACGACGGCTTCTGCCGATCGATTCAATTCTGATGGGTCTTAGGGCTGTGGGCGATCGAACCTCCACCGACAACGGGATCTACAGCGGTTTGCTTTGACTCGATCAAAGCTCACCCCATATAGCAGGCGAGGCATCGGAATGTGAGATTGGAGGAGCTTCCGCGATCCGTGGGCACCCAATCGTTTGATTCCTCCCATTGATGGCCCAAGGTCTCATAACTCCGCCATCTGAACACACTTCCCGACACGGTATCGATTAGCAGAGCAAACCTCGTTCGGGAACCAGGGAGCGGTGTCGCATCGAATGCCGACACCGATGTCTGATCGACTACTTCTCAATTCTAGGAACAGCTGCCAAACACCCTCATGAAGGCATTGAAGGCGCAGGAGGACGTCTCGAAAAATCTCTGTCTCATGAGGAATTTCATCTACGGTCTCGGCAACGGAGACGCCCATTCAGATCCCCAGGTATGGAACTCGGCAGCGCTCATCCCTATTCCAAGGTCCTGAAGCTGGTGGCCGTAGTCCGTGCGGAGAGCAGACAGGATCGCTCCTCCCGCTCGGCGTGGCTTGAGCCGGGCTCGGATGAAGCAACCCGAAGTTTTCATTGATCAATCGAATATAATTTTCTTTCTTTGTTCAGGTCGCAAAGTTGTCCCAGGAACTCTACAGTTCACATCTCCTACTACTCCTTGTTCAGAACTTATCGAAGATAGACTTCGAGGGCCGCAAAGATGTCGTCCACATTTTCAACTCGGTACTGAGGCATCGAGCCGGCGAACGCTACCCCACCGTGGAATACATATACCTCAAGCCTCAGATCCTCTTCATTCTCTTGAGCGGCTACGAGAAGCCGGATATCGCGCTGAACTGCGGGAGTATGTTGAGGGAGTGTGCTCGCAGCGAGAGCTTGGCGAAGGTCAGTTCCATAGCATCGTCGAACTCGCCGTCACGTTCATACTTTCCGAAATGCTCAATCACGCCGCGATTTTCCTCCTCGGGGAGTTTCTATGAAGCTGACTTGAATCGTCCCGGCTCACCGAAACTTTCTATCGCTCAGTTCAAATCTTAGGCTCCAACCAACTAAGCAAAGAATTGTGCGCTGCCACAGGTGGTACTCTATTCGGACGATTTCTACAATCTGTTCAAGTACATAGAAACCTCGTCGGCAGAAATCTCGGCCGATGCCTTCGCAACGTTCAAGGAGCTGCTCACAAAACACAAACCCATGGTGGCCGAATTCCTCGACGCTAATTACGACCGAGTGAGTTGTTTCGTAACTCCTGATTTCTTCTTGCTCCAAGATTCCCCGTGTACAGTCATTTGCTCGGCTCTAGCTCGCATCGGATCATTAGGCCCACAGCTACCTTCTTCTTCTCACAGCGAGCGATACAGAAAGCATTCGTGGAGGAACTGGCCTGATGGTAACTAACCTAGATTTTTCCCCCGATCCCAGACATTCACACATTACCGCGCCTTGTTGAACAGTGAGAACTATGTGACTCTGCGATTCTCGCTGAAACTCTTGGGTGAACTTCTCCTCGATCGCCACAACTTCAACGTTATGACGAGGTGCGTGTTCTAGGGAAGGGATCAACCTCGATGACCCGCTATCCGCTATAAAACTGCTATCAATCGGAATGCTCCAAGGAGTATCTCCGTTCGGCTGGGCTCTCACAGTCTAAGAAAACTCTTCCAGGTACATCTCGAACGTGGAGAATCTCAAGCTGATGATGAACTTGTTGAAAGACAAGTCACGACATATCCGCATCGAAGCATTCCATGTATTCAAAGTGAGTATTGAGCGAGAAGGAGCGATGCGATCCGATCGTCCAGTCTTCTTATTTTGCCTAGGAGATGGAATTTCCGATCGGCGATGAGTTCCAAGAGTTGTCCCCGAGATTCCCCCCGGAAACATTGAGAGCCTGCCGAAATACTGTAGGTCCTGATTTTTCACGTTGCTTACAGATATTCGTGGCGAATCCGCATAAGCCAAACGCGATCCTGGACATTCTGGTTCGAAACAAAGACAAGCTCGCCGACTTCTTGAGCAGGTTCCAATTAGCTGACGAGGCCGACTCGAATCTGGCAGAGCAGTTCAACGATGAGAAGGCTTACGTGGTCAAACAGATCAGGGAGCTGAAGATGATTCCTCTAGGGGCACAAGGAATGCCTTCGATGAACCAGGGACCGCCATTGCCTCCTCCGAATCCGATTTGTTCGAATCCCAAAGACTGAGTGAGACAGAGCTCTGTGACCCGAGCAGAAAGGACTTCGCTCCGTCGGCAGGAATCGAATTGCAGCCGTCGACTGTTCTTGTTGATTTTCCTGTTGCGCACGCGGAGAAACATGAGTACACACAACTCTGAGTCGGACGAAATTTCGAAGCGACAATGTCGATTATTTTGTCTTGTTTCGAAGCCGGGGAGAATCCCTCTAACTCCGAATTCGTCGTTGCGTCGGGATTTTGCCAGCCGGCAGTTGTCGTGTTCTTCGATTCTATTGATCTTACACAGAAGGGTCAGTACGGTGCTGAGTATCCACTCTCTTGTGAAGCCGGGCTTGGAATGATCCTTTCGCCTCGGAAAACCTTGGGCCTTCTCATAAATCTCGCTTCCCTTCATATCCATATCACTGATCCTCCGAAGGGATGAAAGGAGAGTCAGGAGAGTTCCCGGGTCCGCTGTTCCCGATTTTACAATCCAGCGAAACAGATTACTGCTGAAGAAATTAAATACTCTGATCATGGCGAATCAAGAGAACTTTCCGAGGCCTAGGGACGTTCTCTCATTGCGAAATGAGCCTAGCAGTGACTCCGGGTCAGATGTGAGCGAGGAATCATCCTACATAGACGAGGGTCACATTGATACTCCGGATCGGTACCTCGACCGGGAAAACGACGAGGACTGGGCAGTAAAAATGAGAATCTTCTTCCAATCGTAGCGATAATCCAATATGAGTCACTATATTTGTATCACCCACGAGCGGTTCCAAGCCGTTCACTGCCTTGGCCTTAAGCGAGTAGGGACAAGGGACGCGAGCAGGATGAGTCCATTCATCAGCCCGGAAATTGCATCGAAAATGCGAGATTCGGGTGTAAGCTGAGCGGCCGCGAGATCTGTTGAGTTGCTGAAAGATCATGCGCTGGCCTCATCTAGCACAAATAGGCGCCGATAGAACCCCCGCGAAACACAACGAAAGGGAAATTATGCATTTTGAAAGAGAGAAGGGAAGGAACACATCGAGCTCGAAAATCGAAGGGAGAAGAAGTGGAAATATCGCGTTGCGGCATCGAGTCCCCGGTGAGACATGATAGCAGCATCATCCCCCGGATGAGCTCATGCTTAGGCCTTGCACCTCGAACTCCACTGTCCTTCCTTATTCAAGAGCTCTTATGCTATCCAGTAGATCCCAGGGCTTGCCTCTGAAAGGAGGAACTAATCGATGGAGGTAGCTCGCTTCCGGAAAGATACACGTGAATGTGCCATAGTAATAATTTCGTTAACACCTAGCGTCGAGTCTCACAGATGATAGATCCTCGGAAAAAGCGGGAGGAAAACAAAATTACCCCGACTGTTCGGTGCGATTGATGATGCATTGTATCTTGACTATTTTAATAAAAATGAAGAGAGGAGAAAAACTCCCCGAGAGTGAGCTTCTTCGAGTTGAACAATGATTCAGAATCAGCTTGACTCGGATGTCGCGAGGTCCAAAACGAAAGTCCATCTCTCGAGACTCGGAGGTCAACTCCATGGTTTTTCCGGCTCCTCCCCCGTTCATGCTTTTCTCTGGGAAACCTTTCGATATGCCGGAAGACTACGACCAGTTTCGTCCCATGGTCGACCCGATAATCATGCGAGGCACGAATCAGAACCAATTCTTATATCCTTGAAATAACAATTTATTCAGGCGCTTCCCGACGTCTCGTTCAAACCTCACATGGTAGACCGTCTTGCTCTGGGGGGGGTCGCCTAGGATTTGCCGACACCTAATGACAGTAAGTACATTTGGGATGGCACTTCACGCCTTTGACTCCGCATTTACAGCCTCCTGATGTATCACCCCGGCCCTGGAAGAGAATGATGTCAAGACTTATCCCCTGCGTTTCCGTGTGATGGGCTGAATCGTAGGCGCCGATAATTCGTATTCAATGAGAGAATCAGTCCGATTCATTGATGATATAAGGATCGGCTCCGTCACGAAGAACTTGGAGTTGAGGATTTCTGTCGAATTCTGAACTCGCTATCAACTCTGAGGAGTCCAGGATTTCTGTCTCGATCATTTTCCATCTGTTCGATCCGAAAAGAGGAAAGCAGGGCGCTCGACAAGCAATCGCTGCGTCGAATCGCTCCCAGAGACGGCACAACGTGAGCTGAGTAGCTAAAGCTCGTCGCTGATCACGATCTTCGTAGAGAACGGTAATGGATCCGGAAAGAAGTCCGTCATCGCTTTCCTTGATCGAAGAGAATCGAATATATATAGTTCAAACAATCCGGGCATGAACGTGATTATGGTCGAAGCATCTCTCGCTGAGTTATTTGGTGTGATAAATTCAGTGCTGCGTTCCAGAATTGAGATCATGATAATTCCTTCTCTCTAATTGCGCGAGCTCCTGCTTGTGATCTTGAGTAACCTCTAGAGACAGCGTGTACATGCGTCGTATCCCTCTCACAGGGAGAGCTCTTTGATTCCCCCTGTTTCCCAAGGTCGGTGATATGGCCTTCCGCAAAATCATGATCCGGATTCAGCTGGCTCTTACGCTGACGCTGTCATCCGTCTGGACAATGAATACAGCCAACGCTGGGGATCCAAGTAGGTCGCATCTGAATGGATGATTTCTCTTGTTCTCTGATGCCCCCTTTCCGGAATTCACCGCCATTTCCATCATCCCCGAAAAGGTATTCGTTGGATGGAACTTAGCGGACACCGGACGACTGTCGTCGACCTAGCGAATGAACCGGGGACTTGCTACCTCATGAACATCAATAATATGTCCGACATGATCATCGAGGACGGCAAGCCTTTTCTTGAATACCTTATTTGTCGGAGCGATTTCCGGGGGAGTGGAGAGGATTCCCTCCGAAGGTGGGAATACCCTTAGAAACGGAATCTCAAAAGATTCGCAAACGCAGGTGAATCCCGTGAGATGAACAAAAACGATTATCTCTGGCTTCGGAAACAATTTGGCGACTTCCCTGCCCCGCGAACCGCAGGCCCTAGATTCTTCCGGGCTCTACAGCCAGGTAGAATTTCGAATCCGAGAATCGCTCAAAGAATGATAACGTGCTTAATGTGGATCTCCTAAAGGATTTTCTCGATCGATCATACAGCTGTGATGTCTTCTTTCCCAGGGGAAGCACCGCCACGGGGCCCCGCCTCGCCCCATGACAGGTGGTACAAATCGGCTCTGAGACGAATCGATGCCCAGAGAGAATTGATGGAGATGGAGCACGAACTTTGGGAGAATCGATAGAATCAACTTTCACAGATCGCGCACGAATAAATGCAGAATTCCGTGGGATGCTTTTTCTATCGGGAATCTCGACTCCCCGGAGCTGTTCATTCCACTTACCCCTGGTCCCCAGCGGGGTCCTTTAGTAACCCAGCAAATTTCTGTTTTACACATTGAGCATTTGACCCAATCGCAGCCCCATTTCCTAATCAGGATGATCCTACAATGGGGGCAGTGCATCGCGTCGTTACAGCGTACCATGTCCTGTAGAAGGAGAGATCAGATGAGACAAATCAAAAAATTTTGATACTGACAATCGCCGGGGACTTCTGATTCTGACTGAATAATGCCCGTCATGCCCTAACCTCGAGGAACGCTTTCGTTTTCTTGGCGTCGTCGGTAAGTTCGGCGTCCAGTTCGAGTTTGTCTTGGAACTGGAGACAGTTCAGAGGATCATGGATTGCTTGACATGTCAAACAGTTCTTCTTCGAACACACCGGGCAATCAAAGTTATTTACCTGTAAATCGTCGATATGCTCAAGCTCGAGCAATTTTTCTTTGAAAATCAGCGGAAATTGATATAGACCTCGTGTGGCGAGGGCGACTTCTGAAACTCGCCGGGTCGAATTCCCCGACTCGAATTCTTGACTCACATTGTCTTCGAAAAAGCACCATCCAGCACAATCAGGTGTTTTACAGTGGAAAGAGTTCATAGCCGAAGTTTCGGCCTGCTTCATACTCCGTCTCAGATGTTTCTCGTAAATTTCCTCAGACACTAGCTGCGGAGGAGAAATCAGCTCGTCTTGATTGAAAATCACCACGAGATCGGGAGGAGTGATTGTCCGGGAATCCATGCTCCACCCAATAGCTCATCTCCCCTATCCGCTGATCTTCCCGAAGCCCCGAAGCGATGCGGATGTACTCACAGCTTTGATCTCTCTTTCCTGGAGGTAACTCTCACAAGAATAGTCCATGTTCATGAACGGACACTTCACCGTGGCCTCCGTGCAGAAATCGACCGCCTGCTGTAGACACTCCTTGCAGAACGTATGAAGGCAATCCCTGAGCACAATGCCCTCGTGAGGTTTGACTAGACTGAAGCACACCGGGCACTCGAACTCCTCAGTGTTTGCGACGATGTCATGGTCGTCGAGCTGCATCAATTTGAGATAATCTTTCACCGGGCTCTCCGTCAACGTCCGGAGCGTCTCTATGGCTTCCTTCAATCCACCTTTCGCCTCGTCTTCGGATTTCACGTGTTCCGACCGACCACAGTCGATTCTCGTGGAAATTGAGCGTAATTTTGCCGTTTGTCTTGCACCCTCGAAAACATCCCGCGTCGTGGCGGTCTCGATCGCGAACCCTTGGCGTTTCTCGGCGAGCTCCCTTTCCTGACGCGTCGCCCAGGACTCGACAGTGACCAACGGTTTGAACGGGACCGGTGGGGGAGATCCAGTTTTTATTTTCACTATGTTCGCTTGTTTCGGTCTTGTTCCAGTTTCCATGTGCAACACAGCTCTCTGCGGCTGATTTGAGAACGTCGTTTCTGAAATACATCTGGCCGGCTCTTCTATTGCGTGTTTCATCTCAGCTGATCTGATCGCGCCCTCGGCGATGAAGGCATTGCTCACTTGAGCAGGACGGAAGATCGCCGTCGTCGGACGTTCGTTGCGACCTTCTCCAGCGTGAGTCGAATTTTCTCCATTGGTTCTGTATTTGACGCCTGTGGGACCTTCGTGCTTCGCAGACGGGGACGTCAAGCCAAGCTCATCGGTGATCCTTCCCAATTCATCGCCGTCGTCGAGCGCAAAAATCCTCTCATTGACCTCGAAACTGGTGACTGACCCCTCTCCGTCACTTCCGCTCTCGCTTGATAAGTTGAAATTTTCCTCTTTAGCCAAGTCGGGTGCCGAAATCATTGAAGTTCTGGTCTCGAAGGAAGGATTTGTTCGCCAAAGACCCTCGGCCGAGGGAGGGGTTCTGGGCTGCAGGGGTCGCGGTGGGCTCGGACTACTGTCCGATACGAAGATTGGTCGAGGGATTTGACTTCTGCTCGGAGATCTGGATTTTGCGATCGAGTTCCTTTGCGGTTTCTCACGAGTCGGATCCGGCATAGAGGCAGGTAGGAGCGCTTTGACGAACACTGGACTCTTCGGAGGACTCCGACCAGCGATCGTCTCAGCATGGACCGGTGAAAGATCGGGACTGATCTTTTCGCCGTGAATTTTGTTGACTGACAGACGGTCGAAGTTATTTATATCGTCCAAACTCCCGTCGAAGCGCTCGTCGTCGGCGTCGTTGCTTGTCGCACTGTACAACGAACCGCACATCACGCACTCCTGACCGGCACGCCGATTGGTCATGCCGCACAATTCGCATTTCCAGCCTGAAATCCGTAGATAGCCTCATCAATACCATCCCATCAGGAGTATGGAGATCCTTGTCATGGAACAGCCGGTCCCCTGCACGGCGAGGGTCGATCGGCTGGTTCGATCTAATCTCGCACCGGCTTCTACTCACCCTTCAGAGTATCGTGGCATCTGAGCAGCTTTTTGAGTTTATCCACGCTCTGTTCGGCTTCTGTCCGGATTATCTCCCTTCTCCTCCGAACCCTGGCCGTTGACGACTCCGGTGAGTTGTTGTCGAAGTCAGAGGTCGTCTGCCATGTTTCGTCGGAATCGATCGATTCAGCTCGCTGCACTTTCTGTGTGCTCTTTGAGCTCCTGGCCACTCTCTCGGGTATGATGTGTCGGATATCGCTGGGGAAACTTTCAAGGAACTCCCTACAAAAAGTCACTTGTCAATCGCAGCTCAGCCTTTGGATTAAAGCCGCATAGCTCAAAAAGGAGAAACGCGATCATGCATATGGGTGCGTACCTTGGAAGAGACTTTGGGGTCCCGGGGTTGCGATCGCTACCATATTTCGAAGCGCTCACGAGATACAAGAAGAGATTCGCATCGTTTCTGTTGATGCCCATCTCCTCCAGAGTCCGCTCGTTGTCCATGGCGAGCCCAGATCCTATGACCCATCTTTGACGGGCTTCAGGAAATCTGTAGTCTGCTTGGATTTTCTGTTTGAGCTGACGCAATGTGATAGCTGGATTGAGAATCAATCGGATCGGCCCCACATGTGACAGTTTGTCCTCGACGTACAAGTTTATCCTGGAATCCGAAGAGTGCTTAAGCTTCGAGAGATTACCGGGATCGGCTGGGATGTGACGTCGTGTTGAAGTCTTGAGTAAGTGCTCCTGATTCATGAATCTAGAGCCTCTCGCGCAGGATCTTCGATGACTCACGTGATGGTTGATACTTTCTGCTTATTTAAGGCCAGTTGTCGGGCCAAGCTTGCTGCTTTGTCGTGTTCGCCCCTTGAGATAGCGCTTTCCAGTTGTTTGTAGAGAAGCTGCCGCGTCCCGGTTGGGGAATCCGGATGTATTGGAGGCCTCCTGTCCGATCCCGTCGAACCTGTGGGGGAAGATACGCTCTCAGTTCTGGGCAAGTGAGTGAACCCATCGCATCAGCTCGTCATCCTGATTGGAACTGAGGGGACATTATTTGGCCGATCGATCGGGAGCCGGAAAAACGAGATGAGGAAGATTGTCGAATCAATTCCGAGCCGGGGTAGAGATCGTCGTGACTCGTGATGAATGGATAGATTTTGAAGGCACAGGAATCCAGCCTCTCCACGGTGACCGCAGGCTTGAAGCGTATGACGGAATTATTTAATCACCTATGGACCAACCTTTGCTCGCAATAGAAGAACTACTGTGCGATTTGAGGATATCTTTGAAGCTACTCATGTTCGACTGGCCCGTGTGCGAGGGTTCATCAAACGAACGACTGTTTCTGCTGCCCGTGGTGCTGCAAGCGGCTCTTCCATTCGAAGCTTCCCTATTTTTAGTCTCGTAGAACGCTCTCCTCCTTTCGAACTCAAGACGGTACTCTGACACTGTCAATAGAGAACACAAACTTTTAACCAACCACATCCGATCCTAAGTAAGCTTCAATTGGCAGATGGGCATCAATCAGATTGTATGAGAACGGTTCCGCTGCCCCGACAGTTATTTCCTGCATGCTGCGACGGAAATTATTTTTGCTGCTGATAACGTGTTCTGAAGATTTATCAAATGCCTGGAAGTCGATGCTTGATTGACCCGTGTTCAGCCAGAGCTATTTTGTGCTGGCTTCGATTGGAAGCGAACAGGGAAAGTCTCTTCGCTGTCCGCTCGATAATGCCGTTGGGAATCGCGCGAATCGGCGAGGAACAAAGATGTTCTTTCGGTTCTGGTCACCCAACGGAAACGAGACGAGCTCGCTACTCCATTAAACACTCAAAGAAGAGAATTGGGAGAGATACTGTGCATAGAGCTCATGCTGGACCGCTTGTCACCCGGCGGACCGGAACAAGACGACCCAACCCAACTTGTCGACCATTAGAGCATTCTCAGGCCCTGACCCCCTTGACTGGTTCTCCTTTGCCCGCCGGAGCTCATTCTCCTCCGCCCGAAGGAGCGGATTTCTATATAGCTCTCTGAATCAGTACTCCCTGCCGTGTACGTCACAGGCCTGCGAAACTCACCGGAATCGCGCCGCGGGGGTGGCTCCGACGTATTTGAGTCGATACTCATGGAGTCGGAAACATCGACGTAACGCCATTTAGTGGAAGTCGACGAAGAGGCCTCTGAATCTAAGATCGGAGTGATTGTTCCGTCGTCACTCCTTGCTTCCGGGCTCAGCTCTCCGCTGCTCTCGGTCAAGCGTTGGATAGCGCCGACGAGATCGTTCACCTTTCCGGATACATTGAGCTTGTATGAATCGAATGAGGAATATTTTTCATATCTCAGCTGACTATGTAATGTTTGTGCCTTGTCAAAACCGAAGCTTCAAATTAGGGAAGATCAGAGTCAAGAAAATGACGAGGCCTGTGACTCATTACTAGTTGGCCAGCGTCCAGCTTCGCTTCCGACGAGATGTCTCGGTATCGATGTGACTAATTAGGCACTAGACTAGCAAGGGGCTCACCTTCGATTCACTGCGTCTGAGAACAAATTCAAACTCCGACTCGGCGTCTTCGTCTATCCGGGACAGGTCATTCAATCTCGGGGATTCCGGAGGTGCAGAACTCGCTTCCTTCTCACTTTTAGTTTTTGTCGGTGGTGAAGGAGCTTTCTTCTTGAGCCTGGAAGCGATCCACGTGAAAGCACCCGAAGCGGAAGGAAATATCACACCGAGAGCGTTTAGTGTCTCGAGGTAAGTCCTAACTGATGAGATTTCGAATCAAGGTATTCGAACGCTCCCCGAATTCGAGTTCCCGACGGACTCTCGGGCCCGCACTGTCTCGGACCCTTATTTTTCGGTTCCGCATAATTTTTCCAAGATGCCAATATCCGGGTATCTTTTTTCCACGCTGAGTCTCGGAAGGAACACATATTCGATAGCTTGAGGCACGTAGAGAGCGTTCGTTAAGCACAGCATGCGAATCGCGTGGACAAAGTTAGAGCACTCACGGGCATGGCGCACCTTCTCTGAAAACTCTCGCTTCCGCTCGAGAAACTCTGACTGCCTACGCTTCCGCTGGTTCCGTCAGCTGTCAAACTCAGCGCAGGAGGGGCCGGGGCTTTTCGTTTCTTTTTCTTCTTCACAACTTGCGTCTCCAGGGGTAATGACGACGGGCTTTCGAAGGGTGTGATGGGAGATCTGTTCCTGGTTATTTGTAGAGAGTTCGACCGCTGGTCCACGTCCAGATAATCGAAATCTTCATCTGCAAGGGCGTTCTTGAGAGTCGTGATCGGAAAACGCTACCGGGGCATGTGGAAGCTTGAGGAGTAGAGCTCGAAGGATCTCTGAACGAGCGTTAAACCTCCGTCTGCCCATCGGAGAACATCTGAACAATAAACAGGAACTCATCGGAGACGGTAGCTCACCTGGAGGTATGATCGGGGTTAGCAGACTCCGACGCTGTTCGAGGCGGTGAATTTTCGTTTACGCGCCTGTTGCGAGGCAACAATTGTCGGCGTTTGCGATTTCACTTGGAAGAGCTGAACTTCAGCCGAAGTTCCCGGCTGAGGATTGGCCAAATGCGGTAATTTCCGCTCGAGTCTCGGCGTGTTCCGAGCCTCCAGGGAATCACGGTACTGTTGGAGCATGGCATACTGCCGGGAATTCCCCACGCCGTTCGAGACTAGACTGGACGTGGTAGAATCGCCGTCAGCTGTCGTCGACACTGTAAGGAGGAACATGCTACAAACTTGACTATGCAGAGTAGGGCCGTGAATTTCTTCTTCTTCTCCCACACCGAGCGACTGTCTGCCGTGTGCTGCTGAGAGGGCCACTCGGAGACCGTGGCCGGCCGGGCCGCCGGCCGACTGGCTGGCACTCCCACCAAATAGCTAAGCATCGAGTCTCGCGAGTGTTCCTCTACGAGCATCGTTCCAGTAGAGGTCGAGGGCTGCCTGGGCTTCGGAACCTAGCTCAATGTAAACTTACGGAAAGCGAACGATGGAGTCTGATCGTTGGCTCGTTTTTTCGCTTTCGTTTTTTGTTTTTTCGAGGATGTCGACGCAGATACCTTGGAACTTTTTTGCTCCGACGTCGTCGCAGGAGACTTCCACCAAGGGACGGGAGACAGGACATCAGAGACGATTCCTCCCCTGAAGAACGCGAAGTGCTCTTTCTCGAATGCTGGAAGGCTAGTGGGGGTAGCTCCCGGTCTTCAGCAGCAGCGGAAGCAAATCATAAAAACATTCTCCGAAGAGGGAAAAAGATACCTGACATCGACGAGTCCTCTGCGAGCTGTTCTGCCCCCGCAATTCGCGGCGGTCCGAAATTTGGTGGCGCTGAAGACTGAAATTCAGAGAACGGGCTTTTTCTACGTCACTCAAGGCCGAGGACCGAATCATCTCCTCTTGAAAAAGACCGCTCAGATAAAAGCCCAGAGGACGCCGTCGATGGGCTTCTGAGCGAGTGAGTCAGCGTTTTGAGTCGGTCTTCATGGCAGTATCCTCGACGCGACCCATTCTTCGTGGTTTCTCGCGAAGTATGAGCTCAACAACTGTCGTCAGCGGATATGTTGACACTTCACTGGTCAGCATAGCTATCGACGCTTCTGTGTTGTAGGTCTCAGCCTGAGGGTTCCGCCTGAGCGGGGGGGCGCCCTGGTCAGGACGGTCAGTCCGAAGAGGATGAGAATCTCTAGCTCGGGATGAGTCAATCGAGGGAACTCCCGCACATTCCGTCTCTTCATAACTAATCTTCCTCCACGTCCCTCTTCGACGAATAATTATTTGTAAAAAAAACTCACGACCGACGAATTCGATGGACTCTTGGGGAACCTCAGAGGCAGAAGATGGAAATGCGACTTCTCTTTCCGTTTCAGCTTCACATTACCGAAGCCAACTTCATCTTCAACCGATTCCTGGAGACTCTTGCTTTTCTTCAGCTTGAACGCTCGGAACATCGACCTCTTGGTTTGGACGGGAGTGGCTACCGCCGAACACGGCTCGGATTGTGGATCCAGCTCTACGCAATTCTGGAATAGTGGGCTCTTAAGTTTATGTGCAGCCATATCACTCTCCTGGAACATACGCTGGGAAGACTCGTCATCCCGCTCCCGTATGAAATATCCTGAAGTTGTTCCTTTTGCGAATGTTTGGCGAGAAAATTCAGCGCGAACATGGGAACGAATGGGAGAGCGGACGTTTTTCCGATTACTCCATCCTAGGTCGGTCGGTTCGCGCGGCACTCAACTCCGGCATTCCCCGGCGCCGCTCTCCAGCCGCTCGGTCGCATCGAGCTTTTTCCGAAACTCGGATTACTCGCCGATAGCTCACCTGACCGAAAACACTATTCCGCGATGGGAGAGTGGTGTAAGGCGGAACCACAACCTGCTGATTCCCGGGCCCGAATCCCTCTGGAAGGAAGAGTCAGTGATGCGAGTGAGCTTTCGCGACGGGGACATGGAAAAATCCATGATCGTCCCGAACTTTTAGATGTGTCCTGTCATGATCGATATGGCTCTCCGAGGCGGAATTCTTGTCGACGATCAATCAGCTCTCATTTCTCATCCAATCTCTTGACCTACCCTGCTTCGCGAGTTGAAGGTGATACTCTTCCGCCCTTACAAGGTTGGTGTTTGGCAAAAATAAAGCGCGATCTTGTCTCCCGAAAAAATATCTTTTGCCTGCGAATCTTCCATCTCCACTGCCAACGGGGTTGTCCTGGAATTAGGGATCCAATCTTGGAATGAATTCCTCGTTCTCATCCATCACTCAATATTGGAGATTTCCGTCAACTCATTCGATCTCATCGACAACTCGAGAATCGTTTGTGGACGACCCAAAACCTCTCCCGCAGATCCTCGATCTCTGCGCGAGCAGAACACTTACAAATTCCACCCCTATCGTCCAGCCGTCTTCGGTAACGTCGGGGAGACGACCGACCCATCGCACCCAACCGAATTGCGGTCCGTCTCTCAGGACCCAAACGACACGATCCCCCAAAGTGAGCAGGGGACCGAGACTCCCGTAGGAAATGATGGAATCTCGGAGAGGGCCAACAGGAATATCCTCTTGATATCGATAATCCATGCTCGACTTTATGTACATCGTATCACAGAAGGCAAGGAATATGAGATAGCAGCTGCAAGTAAAGAGAAAGAGAATAGAAGAGTACAGGTATTAGAAGGAAATACGGAAGCACACGAAATTAGTCATCAATGAAGACGAATGAGGGACCCCTCTCTTCGCACCGGGAGCTTCTAATCAGGTCACGTTTCGAGCTCTGAGAGCACGCTCACACCAGACTCGAGACTGGAGATTCCAGACCGACGGCTATTTGGAACGAGGGACTCCCCAGGGCGGGTTTTCCGATAAGGATGCGGTTCTCGCTCGTCAACGATCAGAAACAGGAAATTTATTCCGATCCTGGCAAGCTTGAAGCTCGAATTCCTGACACGGAGCCTGGCTCCGAAAGTTGTGAGACGGATGGTCGCTTTCGTTTCGAAAATAGATCTCAGGGGAAGCAAACAACTCGCTGACATCTCTCAACACTGCCATCGATTCAAAAGGATGCATTCCGTAAGAGGCATCCGAGACTGAAGCGGTAGCTCTGTCTCTGAGACATGAGTCTGAACTCTGCTTGAACCCTGGCTCGTTCATTACCGGCAGAGATATCAGCCGACCAGAAGAATTATACCGGATTCCAGATTCGCGGATCGCCTCCATCGCGAACGACTCGAGCGCGCGGATATTCTACCTATAGAGACAATCAAGGGAGACCCAGTCGGTCAGAGCGCTCGAACCCTGACGTGGTCGACGTGATCGAAACGGCGTCGTCTTAGAGCACCTGAAAGCCTTGGAGAGTGTAAACAGTGGAACATGTGGGCCACACAACAGGAAGTCTCTCACAACATAGTTTCGAAAAGGTTGAACGTTTTCGGAGGCCTTTGGAAGGAAGGAAAGATATCGATCTCAATGCGGAGTGAGAGGCCGTCGAGCCTGGAAAACAATCCGACGGACTCGACTACCGTTGGAGTCGACTAGATATCATGAAACGAGGCTCCGACGCTCGGACAGAACATGAAATATTGTTACGTAAGCAGTCATTGCCAAGACACAGCAGAATGGTTGGGAAGTTTCGCAGGGGATCAGTGATACCATGTTCTATTCGAAAGAAGTATCATTCGCAACCCTACTCCGGGTGCTTCCTGTAAACAATCTTCCCTAAGATGTTTCCCCTCTATTTAAGCTTCGGCAGCGACGTGGAGGTTGAGCTCCAATATTCGCGCAACCTATGCCACACGGGCGAAACCCACTCTCGATCAAAAGACAGCGGATGGCAGATCGACCCAAACGGTCAAGTCCGATTATCTCGATCAATGGGCGGATTTTCGAGCTTCATTCACGAACTTTCAAGGCTCTGACTGAATGCTTCGGCGACTTTCTCGCGGGGTCAGAGGGAAATTTAACCGTCACGTCGCTTCGGACAAAACAGCCTCGCCTGGAGCACTTGCGCTCTGATTCCGTGCGGTCACGAGGGTTTTTGTCTGGACAGAGTCCTTCGGAGACAAGTCTGCCCCTTCCGAGGTCCATCGGACAGAGCGATGTTCGCCGACACGATGAGCGCCCTGAGAGTCAAACGCGGAGCGAAGACGCGCGGCAACGAAATTTTGATCCCGGGAAGGGTGCTTCCTCGAGAATAGAATCACATTCTCGCGACTTCACGGTCCGGACTCGGAGCTCTAGCTCCAAGATTTCCGTGAGAGAGCTCGCTCCGGGAGAGTCTTGGCGAGCATTCGCCTCGATTTGGGGAAATTCTCCTGGATTTTGCCTTCCCGATCGAAAAAAGACGCTCCGTCGATGGATTGAAGCAAGCGGCGATAGGGAAATCCGGACTCTCTGGGATACAGCGATGACATTTATTTATCCAACAGAACGAGCGGTCCGAGCAGCAGCTGCTGCGTTCGAGAGACAGCCCGATACTTATACGGGAGAGCAAAGCAAAACCTTATTCGTTCCACGGGCGATTGCATTCGGAAGCCAAGTCGACTTCTCTGGACTCCGTAAAGCTGCGGAACCAGCCGCTGCTGTATGGTGGTCGAGCGATGCTGTGTCTGATTCTCAATCGTTCGGAACATCGAAAAAGATTTTCCGTTGAAAACCTCCGTCGGAAACTCGAGGCTCTCAATCCCGGAGCAAGAACAATATGGGCGATGTTTCGAATGATGTTGGCGACCGAGAAAGCTTGCGGAAAAGACGCATCGGCCTCCTCGACCCGGAGACTCCGGAGGAAGTTCTCGCGAATGATGTTTTGACAACAAGGCATTTGACAGTGGTCTTTTACTAGAGGACAATCGAACCCGCATCGTTCTACGACCGAGAGGTCTGCTCCCCGCGAGACTGCTATGAAATCTGCGCTCTGTACAGGTTATAGAGAGGCTGTCTCTGATAAAATATAGCGTCGCAGCATCTTGTCTGCTGACCGGTCTTCGAAGGTGAGCTTCGAAGACCTTCCGAAAGAATTATTGTAAATCTCCAGCAAACAACGATACAGAGCGGGAGAACACATTCTTCAGACACTCCATCGACAAGGCGTGGGAGATCGGCTGTAGATCATGCTGGGAACGCTTACTTCATCGAGCGAGTGTATCGTCGGCAATTGGAGCAGAGTACACATTTTGATAAAATCCGATCGAAGGCCTCGGTGGAACAGACACTGATAACAACGACGTGAACGGTAAAGAAACGTAAAAAGCGCTGGCGACGTCTTTCACATGACCATGTGTTAATGTGCGGTTTGGGCAGAGGTTCAACTTTAAGCCTGAACAGCTAATAGAGAAGACCCTCTGGATGGTCAGAGTGCTGTGTGGAGAGGAGCTATATTTAGAATGCTTGCTCAGAGGAAAGAGTGTACCGCCGCCGCCACCACCGCTGCCAGAAGCCAGCGACCTACCGCTGCTCTTAGCTGGAAAGAGAGAGAGGAAGCTGTGGGACGGAGCGCATCTCGGGAGCTTCGGATGAACCTGGAACCAGGGTATGAATCCACCCGAAGAGGTTCCTTCGTCTTCTGTAGGTGAAGAGGTTGCTGAGCAACGGAGCCTGTGCACACATTGAGTCGCCCGATAGTTTTCCCTCTACGCGTGGATCGATGGAGAAACTCGGACGGATATCATAGATTTCGGCTCGGGACGCTGCGGGGATGCTTCAGCGACTACGCTTGGTCCCGTGGACTCTTTTCTGGTCCTCATTTACGACGTATTGGGGCCGACAATCCAGAAAACATGAATCCTCCGCGCTTCCCTCCCTCCGTACAGCTCGAACGACAGATGTATGATCGATGAACCGACGATATCTGACTCGGATCAGATCATATCCATAGATTTCATCGGAGTTCAATGATCCCTAATGTACGGTAATATCTGAATTCTACTAGAGTTCCCAGACTCTGATGATGAGAATCCTCTGTCGAGCTTCGAGCTGGTGACGACGCTAACGAAGCCAGAGAATCCATTTGGTCTTCCTGATAAGCTTTCGACGATCGTCTCCGGAAGAGCTCGATCACACCCCGAGCCCGCCAAGCTCACTCCGAAAATCTCCTCTTTCAGGATCTTCACTGATGATGTTCCTGCATCTTGAGCGAGTACTCACGTCGAGATCACGATCTTGTGGGATCAAGTTAAATATTGAGGTGGTACGACGGGCTTCTGCGGTCGCGAGTGACGAGAAACCCCTCCAGGAGTCGTCGAGCCTTATTTTGGATTTCGCACGGTGAATCGGGCCGCTGAGTGTGGAAGATGACCCCCTTCCCCTTCCATCGCGCGGGTTAGAGGTTTCCGCCGAACATCGTGAGCTTACCGCGTGCAGGTGAGAAGCCTGACGTCTCAATATCTTTATCTCAAAGGGAAACCGGAACCCGGATTGCCAGAAACCAAGAAGGCCGGGAGACCGAATATGATTTTTTCGATGCCATGACCTCAAACTGTACCTCCGAAAGGTCGGATCGAACGGAGAACGGAATGCTGCGGACGGGCTATATAATTCCTTGGACAAAAGGTTTTTGGAACATTTTCGGTTTGAGCGAATTCACGATGTTCAGGAATGAATATATGTAGAGCCGTGAGGTGTCGAAACTATTGTGAGTGTCTCGTGTGAACGATGCGATTTTCCTCAAGTGGGTGTTCATGGTTCATCGTTTGAACTCTCCCAGCGGAGTTGCACCTGAATGGTTCGCCTTTCTGAAGACCGCCTTCCGAGCCTTCTTTCCTCTGTCAGATGTTCAATCTCTCCGAGATGTGTTCGTGTAATAACCAACTTTGAGCCGCGGCAGCAGTGTCGGAGGGCCAGTGAAGCGGCGTTTCCGAGAGGCAAGCGCGGTCCCTCATCATTGACTCGCGCTACGCATCCCGTGAATCCGAGGCGCTCCCCTCGCGTCAAAGGCCTCGAACCCTGGGATAAGGATTCCGGGATTGAGCTCCAGATGAGCGAAGCGGACGTCATGAGGAAATATTTCTGGCTTGTTGTGGTTCGCGTGAACTCCCGTCGACTTCATTGACGATGCGTGAAGCTGTCTTGATAATACTGTGTCTTGTGGGCTCCGCCAGCGTTGTAGGTGCGAGACCCCGTTTCCCTTCGACCATCAATATCGGTGAGAATCGAGAAATTAATTGACTTGGCCTCTATCGTAGTCGTCGCTGAAGCTCTAGCAGTGAAGGGAATCTCCCTTCGACTCTCTCCCGGTTTTGTCTACATGATCATCACGATCGACCGGGCAGTCATTCTGCTCATTCTAGAACCTCGCTTCGTCTGACACAACGATGGGGACTCATCGGCCGTGTGCGTGAGCTATGAATTCCCGCGAGAACTCAATATCGAGGTCTGTTCTCTCAGGTCCTGTTTGGACTTCGAATCGATGAGCTCATGTACAACGCAGAACTCAAGCACGCGAATGTACTAAGCGCGTGGGATTAGATCTTTCCCGAAATAGCTCACCGTTTTGATTGACGTCAGCGTCATCATCGACATCGCTCGACGAATCTCAGAGGCTTCAGAATGAGATGTTTGTCGCCATTCATAAATTCCTTCTCTGTGGAGGGGGCTCTGAGATGGAAATGAAGAGAAATGCTTCGGAGCGGACAATACGCAAAGTGTCTCACAACATAGTCGCGTCCGATATAATTTTTTTTCTGAGCTCGAATTCTGCTCACGCAATCTCAGTGATCAGGAGAGGTTTCAAAATGCTATTCGCTCATCGTCGCGTAATAGTCGATCTCGATGCGAAATTCATGGAAATTCTCGCTGAAGTAAGGCGCATCCGTCCCGTTGCTCGGGAAAAGTTTGCCTGTGAAGCTGCAGGTCAGGCGAGAGTACGTTTTTTGCCCAAAGACTCTCTAGTAGGCGGACAAAATATGACCTCCCCGAGTCGTTCATCTTTGAAATAGGAAAATGAGTTCATCTGACGCTAGAGACGACTAGCAGTGAGCGAATGCTTCCTCCGACTCGGGGATCGCAAACGGGAGAAGAGGACCACTATGGGGCTCCGATGTCTCCGACGCGTAGGACGAGAAGAAAAAAAAAGACAGCTATTGGGGTTCGGCTCCAATTGATTCTCGGAGAAAATGACCCGCGAGGACTCTCGGTTGCGGCTCTCCTATTGAAAAAAGAAGGCACTCGCTTGCCGAATTCTTCCGGTTGAGGTCCAACAGAACCTTGAAATGAAGGCATGTGCCTCAGCAGTGCTTCGTGAACTAATTCTCAAGTGGACAGAATATCGGCATGAGCGTGATCCTTGTCACTGACTTCTATCGCGTTTGTCTCTCTCTTCTAGTCAAGCGGTCGGACCAGCGGGCGGACGGGTGGCTTAGTCAGCTGGCAAGCTTACTGAACTGGCCAGCGGGCTGGCGTGATAGACTATCAACGCTTCCTGTCTTCATGAGCTGCAAATCATAGTGATGTCAGCCAAAAACTGGGTTCCGGGGCTTGTGGTGGTCGTTCTAACCCATATATACGGAAGAATCAGGACTGAAGATCTCATCGCTCAGAGCTCGTTCTTACCCCGGGTTTGAAGCGATAAGTCGGGCCCAGGCATTGCCCAATGAAATAGACGTCGATGATGCGGCCGATAGCCGATTCCCATGTTGAATGCCGATATAAATCAAGATTGAGGCTCAGACTTTCTGTCCGTACATGAGCATTCGATCGGCGTCGCGTAGCGGACGCGGGGTCCGGGCGCATCACACCGCTTGCGGAACCTCCGACGTCGAATGGTCCGCTTGCAAGTAGACTCACGTTTCGAAGAGCTTATTAGTCAAAGGGAGTCCCGCCGAGAACCCTCTGCGCGAAAAGGGAGAGCCGAGCTGCCGTCGACGCTCTGCAATGTCGAGAGTGAGAACCCCAGCCCGGAAGAAGATCGGCGGGAGCTTCACGCACACCTTAGAAACTAAAGGCGGCGTCTTCTGCGATTTCTTTGACGGCTCGGCGGTCTTCCCCGATTTCTTCCTTCTGGGATCCGGGAAGTCAACGATTATTCTTCACCGTTAGGCGGACTTTTCGAATCGAAGGATGACCCTCTGAGCCGAGCCTTCGACTTCGCCTTGAGTCGAAGCGCTCTCAGGTCTAAGAACCCTCTCGTGAGGAGTATACTGAATGGCGTCAAGGAAACTGTTCCCAACGCAAAATGGAGTCACTCTACTTACAAAGCAGGTGAGTTTCCGATGCGCTCCCTCCCTCCCCTGGTTTCTCTTGAGGGTATTCCAGTCGCAATCGGATGCCGAGAATCGTGTATTCATGCGGGACGTTTTTCCAATTACTCGCAGCTTGCCGCATGCTACCGAAAGGTTTATCCGCCGTAATTGGGCCCAGCAGAGCTAGCAGCGGACCACTGCTCGATTCACTGTGTTCGTCCTACAATCTACCGTTCATTGCCATCGGTCCGGAATTGACGTCCTCCTCAGACTCTCATCCGAGCCCAAAACGCGTAAACCTCCATCCCGCTACCGACATCCTCAGCAAAGCTTTTTTTGACGTCGCCAACATGACAGAGTGGAAAACCATCTCTGTCATCTACGATAGCGAAGATTGTGAGGACCATCACAATATTCTAATATCACAGAAGTGATCGTATCAAAGGAACGAATAAACACGCTTTCTTCGTCATCGATCAGCTCTCATTCGGCTGGCCTACCTCCTACGACAAGCTGCATCCGAGACTTACCTGCACTTTCTCCACGATTACAACTCACCGGTGACCTTGTTTAAACGGATCTTCCATCTGAAGGACAACAATATCGTCATCGATGTCGCTACCTCCCGCATCGCTGGATTATTGGAAGCTGCTCGAAAGGCTGGCATGATGACCGAGTACTACAATTTCGTCTTGACATCCTTGGTTAGGATCCTGGCAGATGAGGCCATTCTCATGGCGGATATTGGTTTGAATATCGAGTACTCGTTCCGATCCAGAGTCTAATCGATCCGAGACTTATGAGTATATTTGATCCTATTCCAGGATATGCACACGATGGACCTGAGCGCGTATTATCCCATGAGAGCCAACATCTCATTTGTGAAACTCATTGATCTCAACACTAGGGAAAACAATCGATTGATGAACGAATTCAGAATATTCCAACTATCTGATGGTATTCGGGACAACTTGGAGCTGACGGTGAGTGGACCGCTTGAGCAGACTCGGTGACTATGATCGATGCCCCCGGAGAATCTCGTGCGGAATTCAATCGCGCATGCTCGAGCTCCTACGAAAAATTCCTCGACGCCGTAATTTCGCGAAGGTCCTAACGATAGCCGATGACGAACTGAAAATATTGGCATTCTTCACAGACGGAACAAGCTCTTGTCGTGGATTCCGTGTCGTTCGCGGTTCAAACTCTTCAAGAGATGTCGATAGACCATAACATCGAAGGTCCAGAGCTCGATTGCACTTTCGGGGATCGTTGGAGACTCGGATACAACATCACAGATAGGATGCTCAGGGTACGAATAATTTTAGCGGATGATTTGATGAGCGCATCCGGGGAGCGTCGCCCGAAATGGCCCCTCCAACTCCTTCTTATCCTCTCAAGGACCCGTTATTTGATTCTAGAGTTCATTCCGCGGATTGACCGGAGTGAGCACGCTGAATGAACACGGTCAACGCACCTCGTTCCAGCTGGACGTCATCAGAGTCTTGTGGACAGGACCGACCAAGGTCAGTACTAGCTACGAATATATGTACACAGCTCCACAGAGTGCCCTTGAAAGTTGAATCGACGAAAATACCCGTGAACAATGTTCCAAGGTCGCAGTATGGGACACGCAGAATGGGATAAGGACTCAATCTACGTATCCCGAGAGCGTCATGAAGGAGCTCGAGAACCTCATGGCTTCGAAAGTGTTCAACGTCACCACAATTCTGGTGAGCAATTTTCCTCTTCATCAGTTTTCCCAGGAGCACGTCTCTTATCATCTGATTCTGAGTGGAGCGAGTAATCGCCTCAGCAGGGAGTCATCGCAAGTAATGATATCGACCAGATGAAGAATGGGAGATATAATTGGTTTTCCTCTCCAAAGAACGCACCCTATACAATGCTGAAGAAAGATCACGCGAGTCGCACTGGAAACGATAGGTTCGAAGGATTCTGTATGGAGCTGATGCAGACGCTCTCCGAAAGGGTCGGCTTCAAATACAGCATACAGCTTGTGAAGGACAACAGCTACGGAAGTCGTCAGCCCGACGGCTCATTCAATGGGATGATAAAAGAAGTCATGAATATGGTGAGCCTCAGTTCCAGCCCAAAGGGACTCTGATCCGGAGCTAGAATTCGCTCGGGGCAGACTTCGGAAGTTTCATCGACGAGGATTCGGACGAGAGTCGATTGATCATTGCAGGAGGCGGATATGGCGATTGTTGATTTGTCCATTACGGCCGAACGAATGCAGGTAGTGGATTTCACGCAACCCTTCCTCCGGACGGGGATATCGATACTGTTCAGCAAACAACAGCAGCGAGAAGACGTTTCCTATTTCCTGTTCATGAAACCGTTTTCATTGGAAGTTTGGATCTGTACGTTGACAGCTTTCACCGGTAAGTGATTCGCCTCCGGATTTGGACCCCAGAGGCAGGGATGGAACTCGACCATCTTGACATATTCGACTCCGAAAACACAAAATCCCTGGAGCACTATTCCGCGGGCTCACAGAGGAGCCGAGGCGGGCTTCGCGCATCCGGCCGAGTGTGGAAGATCTGTAGGGGGTGATGAGAAATCGAAGTGGGAGATTGCGCTCTCTCTCGGAAAATATGCGCGCCTTCATCGATGCAAATCATACGTCTTTGATCGAGAAGCGTTCAAGCTTGAAAAGTGACTTCTCCGAAGGCATAACGGTTTTCTACTACGTGACCGCAAGCATCAGTCCTAACGAGAATGCCGCTGTGGCAATCGGGGAGGAAATCAAGGACTACTCAAGAATGGTTCTGGACCAGGAGATGAAAATAGCCAGCCGGTTCTGGTTCGCCGTAGGCTCCATAATGCAGCAAGGCTCAGACCTCAACCCGGTGTAGGTGCCGCTAGTGACAGAATCAGTGATCAGATTGACCATAGCAGCCCGAATATGGAATGGGCCCGTTTTCGCATGAGGCCGATGAGCGAATTCTCACCCGGATTCCCCCGCAGATCCCTCTCGTGTCGGACTATCGCCTCCGTGTGGTGGTTCTTCACTCTGATCGTCGTATCATCGTACACAGCCAATCTCGCCGCGACCCTGACGGCTGAGCGGATGGTTTCTCAGATCGATTCTGCGGACGATCTGGCGCGCCAATCAGTAATCGAGTACGGTTGCTTAGCGTCTGGTTCCTCAAGGAAGTTTTTCGAGGTGAGCCGCGCCTCGATGACTCCACAATGCCATTTAATTCCACTCCCTCCCACATGAGCGGGAAGAAGTCGATGTCTTCGTGCAGTTGCTCAGAGGATCTCGAGATAACAGATGATTCGCCCCCTCAAGCAATCGACGAATAAGATCTACCAGCAGCTCTCGGACCACATGGAGAGAGCGAAGCCAACGGTGTACGCCAAGACCAATGCTGAGGCCATTCGACGGGTTCTTGGCGGCAATTATGCATATTTCATGGAAGCGACCACGATCGAATACCTGAAGGAGAGGAACTGCAGACTGACGAAAGTGGGAGGTCTTCTCGACAGCAAAGTAAGTGTCCGTCGTTTTAAGGCTCGACGATTCCACCTCGTAGAAATTCCATGCGATTTCCCAGAAAAACAGACTGAACATTATTCGACTTGGAGATCACTTGTCGCAATCGGCTAGATCCGATTCAACGGACTGGATATTTCATTGCTGGTCGAAACTCTGAACAGGGCTACGGAATAGCAACCCCGATGGGATCTCCGCTTAGGAAACTCTTATCGGAAGAAATCCTCAAGCTCGCAGAAACGGATTACTTCATTGGCCTGAAGCAGAAATGGTGGGAGTCAAACCAACCCTGCCCAGCCGCAGCCCCGCCGTCGGAAGAGATGGGCATGGCTGAGCTCGTCGGAGTTTTCCTCGTCCTGCTCGTCGGCTGTGTGATGGGAATCTTCATGATGTTCGGAGAGTTCTTGTGGGAAGCTACCTATACACCATATGGCGAAAGGGTGCGTCTCGAATGAATTTCTGATGCATTCTCGCACACGATGATTTCCGGAGACTGTTCGTAGAATAGACGGTAACGATATGAGTCCGTACCCTGTCTTTCAGTCATTGCTCGTGATCGAACTGTGGTGGGCTTTCAAGTTCGCCATATGGGGTGACGACAAGAGACCCCGGCCGGATGGGATGGAGAGGTACTTCGTTTCAGCGAAACCGGTAGAAAAATCTCCGCGGCCAGCGCTCGAGTATCGCGCCGAAGTTTTGGGAGACGTTGAGCAATGATTAGGCTGCAATCATGAAATCTCGGCCGACGACTTCGTTAGCCCGGCTTTCGAAGCGGGGACGCATGATGCCTTCTCCAATACTTCAGTACTGCAACCAATCTCCTCATCGGAGATCACGGACCACCTTGGGGACGCATGCTGATCCTTTTCACTACGAAAATACTTTCAGAGTCACTTGCAGGGGTAGCATGAGCACTCCGAGTCGCCTTAAAAAAATCTCCGTCTCCGAGCTAAGCTCATTCGGTCTTTCTTGTACTGATGGATGAATCGTGAATAGATTTTTTACTTATCGGACTCGCATCCGATATGATCTCCGTATGGCAGACTTAGATGATGTCCGATCTTTCACGCAGGGACCCCTATGCGTAATTACTGCCCGCACGAGCTTTATGGTTCGCACGAATTTGATCACTGAAAGAGCAGCACAGATTCTCGCAAGAGGGCCGGGGGAACATTTCCAGTGAAAAATAGGGCGTTCTCGCTCTTCTTGACGCTTCGACTCGTATTCTCTCGCATGGAAGGGGAAGGGGGGAGGCGTAAATCGACGTCGTAAGAGTCAATGCCTTAGCGAGATATACGGGGAGGTGAAGGAGCATCACATTTTCGGAAAAGCTCATTGTCGCTTGAATATATCTGAATCTTATTAGGAGTTCGGATTAGTCTTCGAGAGAGGTGTGGCGCGTCTCCGATCCAAAATGGACTGCTTAAAAAAATCGTGATCCCGAAGAGCGTGACGAGCTAATGTTCAGTCAAAGCAAGATAAAAAAATTCGCTCAACTCTGGATCATTTAGTCTTGCATCGACCGGACGAAGATGAAACTGGCCGTAGTGTTCGTCGTAGTCGCATTATCCGTCGTTGGTGAGTAACAGTAGCTTGCGCCTACGAGGACTCGGAGAACTCACATAATCATGAGCCGGATAGCACAACGATAAGCATATTGTACAGATATCAATAGATATCTACGTGAAGGTTCCCTATTCTGTCCGGCGTCTTAGTCCCTTGACGAGTGTAGTCTCTTAATATCAAATTCCTTCGGAACAGTGTCTGGAGGAGGCGCACACGGGAAGGTCAGATGCGGAGATCTCCCGATGGAGCTTCTCTGCAAGTACGAGCGCTTACGGAGGGCATGCACCGTGAATCCACGAGACTGCAGACGGGGCAGAGCACTCGCGTTCTACCAGAGCGACATACCGAGTCTAGAGATCGCGACTAACAACAATAGAGAGAGTAGCAACTACCTCTACAATCAAGTATACGGTCGATGAAGAAATCCGGGACCGATTCGCTCGTCAGGAGCGGAGTCTCGATGACCCTGAATAAAAAGCTTCAAATCCGCTCCGTACATCATTTACAAGATATCCTATAGCCCATCGTAGAGGTACGTGTCTGTGTTCTTGTCGATGTTAGTGAGTGAGCTTGACGGAGCGCCGATTCGCTCTCAAAGGTGCGGATTTCTGTGGGTACCGGAATGGATCTTATCCGCCATTTTTTACTCTGACGACAACTCTCGGTTCTTGTTGGCTGGGGATCTAGACGGAATAAACGGAAGAGAGTGCGCGGGAAAAAACGGAGGTCCTCGGCGGGGACAAGTAGAGGAGTCTGATTTATCGGTCCCTGCTCGAGGTTCTTAGAATCATGAAACTTGTTTTTCCTTTATGGTCTTAGTGTGGTCTTTATAGTTATATAAGCTGGTAGAGACTCGAGCTCCGTTGCGGGCCCACCGAGCAGGGATGGCATCCTGCTCACGCATGCTCCAGAATCGGGATGTCTTTGAGCTCCGCGCTCTCCACCAGCTTTACAACATTGATCCGGTGGACATATTTTTCAAGGGCCGAAAACTTGCGGAATAGATATTCTCTGACCGAAATTCGTCGCAAGCGTCGAACGCTGACCGCAGCCGCCGATTCCCATCCAACATTCGCCCCTTCGAATGGAGAAGCCTTTTGGAGGATGGTGATGACTTACACACCTTCAATCGCGGTAAACGACGCATGGAATGCTCGGAACGCAAACGAATGATGTCACGCAAACGACTGATGTCATACTGTTCATTATAGATTGATCGCGGGGAAAACCGTCGAATTTCACCCGCTCAGCAGACTTTCGAGGACTGACCGAAGAGCTGTCCGAGAAGTCATTGACTTGCTTGATAACTTGCCCCGCATTGAGACGAGAAGACTCTCTGAGCGATGATCCCGAGGTTCTGCGGACCCAGGCATATTGTGTACACCGGAGAAAGTGGATGCGTCAAGTGGCCTCTCGGTTCGGGATAAGGATGCTTTCCAACGTCTCAAGGAAGTCCTTCCCCCTCAGGGGCGCTTGAGAGAGACAACCTCAATGATGTATCCTGTATGAGTCTCTTAGAGATCAAAATTTTCATCGGGGTTTCGCCGTGAGGCAATCGACAGCTAATTTCACAGCTCATCTCGTGCTCTCCAATATTTCGGGCGGAATCGCGAAAAATCCTGGAGATTTTCCGTCGAATACGGACGGCCCGGAATTGTGCTGTTTCGGGCTCTCATCTCGTTCACTATGATCGCGATGCGAACCACATCAGAGCTCAGAAGATAGTCCACCGCCACTACATTCGCACAAGCCCACTTGCCAAAGAACATACGGTCGATGCGACGATTGATTTCCGGAGAGAAGTATCGCACGCCTCCCTGATTACGGAATATATTCCTCATCAAACGGAGACCAGGTCTCGGGGTGAGCTGGCCTTTGGTGACGGTTATCCCGGAACTTTTGGCGACTTCCGAGCAGAGTCGTTGATCGAAGAAGAGTTCCAACTGAGAGAAATCCTCGGTGTTCGGCCAAAGGTGAGTCGGAGAGGGCCAGAGACACTTGGTCAAGTTCTGCATGGGATATATCGACGACACGATCAAACGTCTGTTGGATTTCCACATTTCTCCGAATGTCAATTCGGGGCTGAAAGGGCTCATGTGCCTCCCGAGGATGTCAACGAGGAGTTTCCACAGCTCCAAATGCAGAGTTATGGTCCAGAACCAGTTTCCCTTGATCTTGAATTTATGCAGATCTATCAGCACAATCTCCTCTGTGGAATCCAGGAAATCTCGGATATCCATGGCGATCTGCTTCAAGGAGCCGAGAGTGACGAACGATCCATGATAGCTCCAAAACTCTGTACCGTCGCATGCTTTGCCATCGATCCCGCATTCGCTCGGGGATCCCCCACGGTTCTGTCTGCGTTTCGGCGAGAAGGAAGCTCTCAGCTCGAAATACCGAGCTCCGAAGAAGAGTTGATTGAAAACGGATTCGTCCTGGCACTCTACGAACTGCGTCACCCGCGAATGCGATCGATGCGGTACGTAGTAATTATACGTACCCGAGTTATGCGTTCCTGGGATGAAGGCGTGACGCACTTGTACGTTTTCCAGATATTTCCTCGATTTTTTCATCCAAAAAGGGAAACCTCTGAAGCAGTCATAGCTCGAAATTCGAGAGCGACGATCCAGGACGGCCACCCAGTAGAACATGCACTTCTCGCTCAAGTTTTCCGTTCCGTTGAGCTCCACTTTCGGTAGCAGGTAACGGGTGAGAAAGTAACCCGAGGTGTGATCGAGAGGCGAGATACGAAGCAAGTGATTCGAGACGTCATCGTCCTTGGGCTCTCTGTCGTAAAGAGCCAACGACACGTTTTGATGGATGTTGTACCATCGGATTTCAACGTATCGGACGCTGGAGTCATTCTCCGGGCAGCCGAATATCTTCCTCAGGTCGAAATTTCCACGGGGAACGCCGGGAGAGGCTGCTATGAATACTCTTGGGCTCAGGTTGTCTGAACACTCGAACAGCTTGAAGTGGGAGATGATCTCAAAGCAAGCGAGGATTACCGGAGTCGACGAAACTCTCATGTCAGGTCACCGCAGCTCATGACTTCGTTTTCATGATTTCCCGAGAGAAGATAGTCGGAAAACATCATTGGGAGCTTGCCATCACCACGATAAAATTCAACTTCTTATCCCGTTTCACGGCGGCATTCGTGAGATTCGCTGTTGCTCTTATTCTATATACTCTGTTACCTAATTTCCTCTGGAACATTGTTGCCGCATTGAGCGCGTCTCTTGTCTCTACACAGGAGCGGAAATTCGGAAGCCTATTCATCGTGCCCCAGCCCGGCCCCCATGCCCATCATTCGAAATTCACAATTGATTCTCGCTCCGGCCCTTCCGAACTGGCCGGAGTCGAAGGAGCACTCCGCTCTCAACGCGCCACTAAGTCAGCATCAACGGTCGAATCCCGCTCGTTCTAAGTCCTCTGTGCGGTGCGCAGCGCGCGATTCCTCCGCCGGCGTTCGGACGTGCACGTCTGTCCCAATTATGAGCCACGCCAAAATCGGCAGCGACGCGCGGCGCCTCGAGCGTTGACCGCTCAGTTGAGACTCGACTTCCGAGTGGTGCGGAAGTGCGGAAGTCCGTTGACTTTTTTGGAGAGCTCAAGTGAGGCATTCTCGGGAATTCGATGTTCCTCGTGCATGAAATCTGATCCATTCGTTGCGTTCTGCTGAGAGCTATTATCAGAGACGATCCCTGTTATCGGGTGAGAGACGCTGATTCCCTCTCATTCAAATCGATCAGTTGCTGCGTCAGCACTGGATCTGGAATTTGCCTCGCGTAGAAGAGGGTGAATCTCGAATTCTTCTCTCGCCCGCGTCTCCATCTCCTTGTACGAGTGAGTTGCGTTCCGGATTTAGACAGCTCCGGAAATTTCCCTCGAAATCCTCTGCTCGCTTGTCCCTCCCTCTGTTTGGCTGACGGAGACGTCCAGTGCGGTTCGAGACTGGCGAACAATGGAGTCCTCTTGGATGTTCTCCGTAAATCATCTCGGCGAGTGGTCGCCTCTCTGACAATGAGATACGGGGGAGCGCCTGCATACTGCATATCGTTCTAGATATGCATATCGTTGGCGGGCGGCGGGCTCAACGCTCAACCATCCTTTAGATTCCGGCGCTCGAATCGGTACCTGAACTATGCTCCTTACATCTACATGTTGGAGCGTCGCATTTTCTACCTCTGACGCTGATTCTTGTCTGGGAAACTCTGGAGCAGTCTCGGGATATTCGCGCGGTTCTGCCCTCTGATTCTAGTTTTCGTTCCTAATTCACTCATTCTGTCGTTGTCACTTCGTTCTCTTCCGCTCAGAGATGGTTTTCTAACGGTCGGTGCACTGTAACGGACGAACGACGAAGCGGCGGTTAAGGATAGCCATTATCGCTGCGTCTCGTAATTTGGTGAGGCGATTTCGCTCAAGTAAGCCTTTTGCTGGAAGGGTCCTTTATTCTCTCGTCGTGTATCCGCTCGTGATAGAGCTGCGTCTCTAGAACCCCACCGTAACCTGAATCCTCTGGTGTAATGTGTCTCTTGAGCTTCGATAAAGGCTGTGACGCGTTCAGTGCATGGCTTCGTAGATTGGAACCCGATGCGTCCTCGAAATTCATGCTCGTCTCATTCTCTCAAACCACAGGAAGACACCCGTGGATCTGAAGGAATTCATCATGGACGGAAAGAGCGCAGAGAGCGATCTTTTAGATGGTGCTGCGAAGGAAAAGCAAGCTCGCCCGAAGCCCTACAAGCATCTGGTGTATCTCCCTCATCACCTTGGACCCGTGGGTGGCTGGAAGCCTATCCGTATTGGGAATCTTGGGGCCGCGCTCCGTGCCGGTAAAGGGAGCATGTCCGGCAAAATGGACCCTCTTCAAATGCCGCCGTCAGATGTTGGAGTCACGGACTCTGATCCGAAGCCCTGGGGGTCCGATAATTATTGATATTTGTCATCAATCGTCTCTTATGAAATCCCTATCATACGCAACTACTCGGGTGAAGACCAGCTTGGGTTGCTTCTCTTTTGTTGGAGGACGGAAAAAATATATGCCCCATTCCCTTCATCAAACTCTCTTCTCTCGCTGTCGGACGCGAGATATAAGCGGATAATCGGGCTCTCTCGATTTCGCTTGCGCGAGTACACTGGATTGCGAATTAAAGGGATTCTACTGTAAGAATCGATAGCAAAATCTTCCACACCGCCAGTACTCTCGAGCTGAATTCTTCTGGGCGACTCATCCGTAAGATGATGTCCGTTCCTCGAGAAGCCACTGAATTTCCATGGAGAGCCTTGGGCGAACCCCCGTTTTCATTTAGCTGCGGCGGAGAAAGTCTCCGACCGAAGATGGAGAAATAAATTAAGTGATCAGCTTCATCTGTTTTTTCATTTCAGCGCTATATCATTGAGCGTCGGAATGAGAGTCGATTTCAATAGGTCCGAATGTCCCTGCCTATCTCTGTGTGAGAACAGGACATTTCCCTCGGTAGAGCATTCTGCTTTTCCAGATCGCGTCTTGGAGGAATTTCTCTCAGGACTTCCGACGGGATACTCGGAATGTTTCGGCTCGGATGTTTTCGAACCTAATCAATATGCGCGGTCGATGGGAATCGTCGCGTAGAATTAAGATCCAGGTTCCGAGAGAGGGAGCTCACTGAAAACCTCTGAGAGGTCAGAAATTAAGTTTTCATTCTTGTCTCTCTATCGTTCGAGTTGGGCGGACCCGTTTTTTTTGCAGCTTTGAGGCTGTTTCAACATTTTCAGCCATGGGGAATCACAGTATGTTCGGCACAACTCCCTCACGGAACACTGGAACGTGAGGGAGCTGTACCGAGGGGTGAATCGGAGATACGACGCACTCGGGCCAGCACGATCGTGTGATATCTCAGCAAGCGGCTTGTTTGCCTCTTGAGTTCCGACTTTCTATATCTTCTTCGCGGGAACCTATGACCCTGCTTACGATGGGTCCATTTCTCCAGATCAAGAATGCTGGGACTCGTTCGACTTCGTTGCACCATTCTGAGGATATGTCCACTTTGAAGCACTCATGGGTATACATCCTGCTTCGACTCCTGAAAAAAGGTTTGAAAGATGTCCCTGCAGTGCCTGCAGCCAGAATCGCGGCACATGACGACGACGGGCTGGGAGCTGCAGAGCGCTGTTAGCAGGACATCACTGGATGTGTGGACATCACTGTCCTCGACAACCTTGTTGCAGCTGACAAGAGCTGTGAACTCATGACGGGCGAATGAGAAACGCTTCCTCGCGACGGAATAGTATTTCCTGACTACCTGTGCTCGAAGACAGAGGCAGCCTTCGGGATGAGAATATCTGGACTCACCGAAACAGAACGCGTGCTGTGAACTCATCTACATATTCTGCAGAAAATTCTCAATTTAAGTTCCTGTACGCTTCTCTGCTATCTCGTCATCGAAGGCAATAGCGGCCCGGATCTCCGAAGGTTATTCAACTAAGCGCATAGGAGTCGTGGCACGACTTTCTTCCGCGAGGAGCCCCTGAGGCAGGTGATCCCAAGCCTCTTCGTCCCGCGGAGCCCCTGGGGTTCCGCGAAACTCGTCGGAGACCCCTCCTACAGGTCCCGCGGAAACTCTCGCCGAATTCCCGAGTCATTTTCCACGCTTCCCTGTGTTTCCTGCGCTCGAATCGTCCTGTTAGACCGCGGCCCTTGCTCATCCGCTCGAGCGGCACCTGCCTGGAATCGCGGAATTAGCGGTGGAAATTAAACATAATACTCGGACAAAATATTCCTCAGTGAAACCGGCGAAATATCCCACGGAAGCCAAGGAATCTTCTCGCGGACCCCAATAATCTTCTCGCTGAACCCCGGAAATGTCTCCGCGGAACCCCAGGCTTCACCGCGAAAACCCGCTGCGGAACCCTGAAAATCTTCCCCCGGAACCCCGGTGGGGATCCACTGCCCTTGGGGTCCGAAAGCGTTCCGGTAGCCACAGACGATACGGTAAGTGTGTCGGTGATGATGTTTGAGGCAAGAGTATCCCACTAAGAGCAGGGAGAAGGGCTTGAAAAAACGATTCACATGGAATCACTTGATAATCATAACGTAGCAATTCGCTGTTTATTTACAAAAATAATCAGTATATTCCTTCGCATCTGTCGGAATTTATGTCAGTATTCTTGATAACTATGTTGTAGTTGTTGTCAGTCGGTGAAAACCGGCACCAAGTCAGCATGTATCGTTCAAGAAGTATGTGCGACGCTGGTAAGAAGCCAATATCTAGTTTGTCTCATCCTCATATATGAACAATGACGATCACGGAGCGAACGGAAATGCACAAGGTTCAAATTTTTCGTCTCACAATCTCTCGGGATTTTCTCCCCGCATCAAATCACTTTCCATCAAGATAGTCTCAAACAGATCAGGGAATTTCGTGTCTCTTTCCAGCGTCGGGTTTGAGCCGTACAGATTCACAATAGATCGCTCGCTAAGACGATAAAGGTTGCAATGCTAATAGATTGAAAGTTTTTTTTTCACATCTTCCACATCAAATTGATCTCAGTGATAAGACCGCATCGCATCCGATGATTTCGACGTCCCAATCTCGAGGACTAGACACTGCCAGACCATGGAGGTCTCAAGGCTTGCAGACCCCAAGATCAGAAAGGGGTCTGACAGATGATAGCGACAGTAAGTCTTCAGCAAAGGAGCGCTGAGAGGACTTCTTGCCAGCGGGGCTCGGCTCGAGAAATCTAATTTCTCGGTCCTAGAAGTTCGGCGCCGCCCTTACGATGTCCATAAGCTGCCGGGGATTCCGTCGCATCATATCGTGCCTTCTTATCTACGTGTACGGCCTCTGAGGTAGCCGTAGGAGATTGATGAGATGGGACAGGGCATGCAAAAAACGTCTTTCTCCAATTTTTCCCTGAGGTGGCATAGTCGGACAGGAACTACACCGATCGGCAGCTTTTGATTTGGTAACTGCCCTCGGAACGAGGATCAAGACTGTAACGTTTCCACTGTAAAGTTTGACTGGCTCTGAGCAGGTTACGGTCCCCTGAAAAACTCAGGGGACATTTCTTCTACGGTTTTCCTTCCGAACTTGAAAGAAACCTCATCAACGAAATTCTTCTTCGAATCGATTTTCTAATTCCGGCTGGTTTGATTGCGAAATTCAGTTCTTGGTTTCTATGTATTTTTTGGCTTGTTAATCCCGAAACGCGATGAATGATCATCCGGAGCAATTCACACTCAAGTCATCACGAGCTCTCGTAAGCACTTCAGATTCACAGGGGTCTCTCGCAATCATTTTCTCAACCGAATCCATTTCAGAGTAGTTTTATGTACATCGATAGAAAACTTATTTCATCTGCTGGTTTGCGCAAATTCAAGGAGTCGGATACGCACTTGCGAACTTCAGAGAATCCAATGCGGGAGCAAATGTCATTCTCTCTGTTTCTCGTCTCACTTCTTTTGGGATTCTCTACGTTCAGGCTCTCAGAAAGCCACGATCAGAACGATTGTCAGTGTTTGTCGGTCAGAGAGACTCAAGGGACTGATGAGGTCTCTTCGGTTCAGTCGATCGTTTCACTTCAGATAGAAGAAGGCCGCTCTAATGCCCGCTCGCTCGACGATAGTTGAGGAAGCACCAAATATGGAGCGACCTCCGACTAGTTCCGGGTGGATGCTACCGTGATGATCCAACACATCTTGACGAAAACTGGTAAAAACAGTTAAGCACCGTGAAAGCACATCACTTAAGATCACAAACGACGTCCCTCCCGTTCTCTCTCGGTTTCCACTCTCGTGCCTGTTCATTCAGTATCGCTCGATTTCATTTCCTCGCCGGAACTTAACAATCTACTTTCAACCCCCTCACTCTCAATGAGATGGGGTTAACTTCCTTTCACTTCCTCTCTCTCTCTCTGCTTCATGTTGCACGGAGCTCTCTCGGGAGTGCACAGTCCCACAGCATGCTGACGGTCCAAGTGAGTTATATCATCTCTTCTGCACGGGCCGAATGCATCTACATGGATTGTTTTCGAGTGACCCTCACCGATGTTTCCGCATCGCAGCGATGCGAACTGCGGGACATTATCTTTCAACTCGAGGGCTCTCAAACCTCAACATCGTTTGCGCTCAATTGATTGCACCGGAAGAATTTCAGCGGCTTATGAGCAGAGTGCCACACAGCTCAAGTAATGATCGTGCCGGTTTCGTTTCCCGCAGGGTATTTGTATATAGAATAACCAAATATATATATAATAATATATATAATGGTATATAATTTATATATATTCATGCGATTCTTTATATATATATATTCGTTCTATTTCAAAGAATATCCTTAACCGGTGATATCCAGTTCTCCCCCGGGGGAAGCCGTAGAAATTAGATTGGCTTCCCCTCCCATGTAGTATCGCTCCATTCCCAAGTTCAAGGAGCTTCCCCCGTCTTTTTCCCGTCCACTAGAAATCATCCATAGGTTCTGAATAATTCTTCCCGTGACGACCGGCAAATATATATTTGGGTATCAGGTATTCTCTCAAGAGCTCCTCAAGCTTCCACAAATGCCAGGCTCATAGTTGGGTAGATCTAAGATGTGATCGATAGCGGCATTCAGCTCTGCGGAGAGTAATATAGCTAGGGATACATAGGTACTCTGATGGATATGTTGCTGAAGACAACGTTAACAAGGAGTCGGAATCGGACAAGTTATACGAGGGGCTCCCGGATAGACCTTGGAGCAGGGTCGTGGACGTTCTCACTCCTTATATATACAAACAGTAGGGTCAGCTAGCAACAGAAATTTCGACGATACTTAACCCGCTGCTCTCCCGAAAGCAGCGCTGCGAGGGGACGATTCTCGTGATTCAGCTACGGGATAACAATGATCTAGCTCGCTTCACGATTTGCCTAAGAATTCACATCAGTTTCCATCGGGCATTAGACGGGTAGACATAGTATGTACAAAGAAGCCAGCTGGCCTGTCGTCGGCAGTAGCGAACTTTAGTTCTAGTGGACGAACTGGTGGAGGAATATAGGTATGATCACGATTTGGAGCTGAGTGGCGCACAATGATTCTCGGAGGTGATGACTCAATGAACCCAAGAGCGAGATCCCTGAGACGGTTGAAGATGGACTTGGTTTTGAACTGGAGCTGCGGATTCCGTGAAGTTGAAGTCTAAAGTCCCATCGACGCTCAACTCGTGCTTGATTACCTGTCGAGCGAAAAATCCGATTGAGCCGGTCTCCAACTCGTCAGCATGGGGCAGGCTCCTATTCTCTTTGCCACGTTTCGAAAATCTTTCGAGTAGCCATAAATCGAAACGAGGGGAATTGATGATAAAATGCTCATAGTCAGGAAATGAACTGGCGTCGATGTTCTCCCTTTGATGCTTCGCCAGAGCGGTACGCGGAGGAACCCGACGTGGGATCTCAAGAAGGACAGGGTCTACATGCATAATTCGCTGCTTACCTGGTCTACGTCACATTCGAGTCCACCATGCAGCGTGTCCAGGCCATCAATGTTCAAGTCGGCGCAGTCAGAAGCCAAAATATGGCTTCGAAGTTGAGATGCTGTGCAGCCCAACGAAGCGGAAACTGAAGGTTCTTGTTTCATTGGAAGACTCATGGGTACTACTGCGGGAATCAATGGAAGCAGTCCCCTCGGAGAACAAGGCATGGCCAACTCTTGACTCTCCGGGATTGTTGGCGGAGGTTTCACTCCTGAAGACAGTCCGCCATTACAGTAAACATCGCGGGCCTCCAACTTCACGCGGCCAAGACTGGGCACTACATCGATGCTCATCGAGCGATGAGATTGATGATCTTGATAGAGAGGGGGCGACACTGGAAATCAGAAAAATACACGATCACATCACTGAGAACCACGGTATGTGGCAACCATCATCGGCTCGGGATCCTGCCGACCAGCAGCTGAATATTCGGGATGTGATCCGAGGTGATATCGAAACGGATAGGGGGGAATAACGTACCATTGAAGTAAGAGCCGTAAGTGGTGTTCTGCTTCAGAGGCAACGTATCGTTGAGGTTCATCGCCTCGGTGATCGAGTCGCACAACTTCATGCTGTCGACGTCCGAGGGGTAAGCAGGAGGAGGCTGCTGAGCATATATGCTGACCTGCAACACGAGGCGATGTTCGAATATACGAGGTAATCTCAGAATATCATTGAAGGTCTCGAACTTTCGGGAGACAGAGTTCTGCGGGAGGCGCTCGAGCGCCCGCGATTGAAATTAGAGGATCAGATTCCAGACAATAGCATCGTGCTATCGACTCGAACTTACCATGTCACTGTTCCAAGACACGGGTGACAGCGGGGGAACCTGGTTATCTTGCTCAATCGCTGTGATTGGGGATAATCGAGAGCAAGACGAAGCGTTCGACGAAGCTCTCGGTCGGAAGTCAGGGCTGAGTTGGAAGGTAATCGGGTTCCCATTGCTGGCGCCGCCCGCGGAGTTCAGAACCGGAGAGTCTGGGAACATGTCGAGACCCTCGCTGACAGATGAGCTGGGCGATGGGGTTATGTCGGGGGGCGGGACGCCATTCCTCATGGCTTCCAGCTTCTTCTTCACTCGACCGCGTTTCTTCTCGAGTTTCATGCTGGTTTCCATCGAAGCCGCCCGACGGCGGGCTGCTTTTCCCGCAGGAGCATCCTGATTGATCATCCACCAGGAACTTTTCCCAGCTCCCTCGTTCTGGACTCGCATGAAACGGTTGTGCAACGACAAATTGTGTCGGATCGAGTTCTGCGGAGGGGAATGAAGAAATTAGGCTATTTTTCCCAATTCTGGCTGAGCTCGATTCAAATTCACTAATACTCCCGCAGTCGCCGGATCCGTAAACAAGAAATGATTCAATTTCAGCCAGGTCAGTCAGATCCGGTCGCCTTTGCCAGCTCGCAATCTTGGGTTTCGCTCGTTGCAAAACAGACGACTCTCGAATCAGACGAACCGGATCTTTCGAAATACAAAGCTACGCTTCCGAAATAAACGGTCTAGCCGAACGACGGCGAGCACTCCGACCGGAACCGCCGGCCGGAGAGCGCTCCCGGCTTTTGGATACCTATATGCAGCGTGTTTTCGTCCCTGAATACGATATTATATTTCGTGCCGGCAACGGTAGACTGTCGGCTCGTCGATCGGTCGGACGAACGAGTGAGTGAGCCAGCCAGCCAGCGGGTATTGCAAGGATGCCGTCAATGTTCCTTTTTGGGTAAGCTCAGAGCTTCCGGAAGGTAGCCCTTCCCTGCACGCGCAGGATGATGAGGGAAGCATTCGGGACCCGTAGCACCCGAACAGGGTCTGGGCAGGCGAATTAGCATTGTTATGTCGCAGAATAATGCTCCTACATGATATCGGAGGCTGCAGGCTATTTTGCCAATCTCGCGGACTGTCTCTTACACTCGTCCGTCGACAAGTTGATCCAATAGCCGGCTTAGAGCTCAGCCGTCCTGCCAACGGCTTAACGCAATTCGCTTAGGCTTTCGTATTAGGACGAGGAGTTGTTGGATCTGGCCGTCCTTCTTGAGGGAGAGAGGAGGAGGACAAAGCTCTCTCGCAGCTCGATATGCCGTTTTTCCTCCCATGAAAATTATCCAACGGCAAAAAGCCGAGTTCAGCGACGGTCGGCTGAAACCTTGCAATACATATATCACCGGAGGTTCGGAGCCCGAGGAGGCTTCGATGTCCGACTAGCGGTTCCATCACATGGATGAAGAAAAGCCGCCAGGGGTCCGGCGTGATTCTCCAGGGCCCTGGCGGCCTGACTCGAGGGTCAAGGGTGACAGCTCGGGGTTTTCAGAAGGAAACTCGAAGACTCGAGCTCGACGGTAGCGGAGTCGGATCGGAATTTCGCAATGCGATCGGCCTGACGTCTCTACGCCAGAGACAAAGCCGAGACATCGGGGAGACGAACGACATCGCATGGGATTTACCCCGTCTCTCCTGCCTGAAACTCTGACCACGGTCGAGTCAGAGCTCCATTTTCCCCCATGCCCCGCTGGTAGTTCAGAATTCGACGGAAGCCCGACCACTTCTTACTGCGGAGAAGTTGAGAATTGCGATAGGCCTTCCGCCTCCTCGAAGCGAAGGATAAAAGACCGATCTAAAGCATTCCTCGCGAGTGAGAAGACTATTCCGAAGGGGAACTCATTAGAGCTTTCCAAACTAATTCAATCGCTCATACTCGCCAATCTATCTAGATAGCGAGCGGAGCAGGAATGGTGAACTATGTCCGAAAATCATCTAGCGACCCGATGATTGACTCAAGCAGGAAAAAATTGATCGCTGGTGATAATGACACTGCATCTCTTGCTGGATAGCCATTGACCTCGTTCCAAGCGCCATGGAAAGTTCCGCTCCGAGCCTCAAGTACACGTAACCTGTTCCATGCTATCACGCAACGATTCATCTGCGCCAAACACAATTCCAGAGACAGCATCGCGTTTTGCGGAAGAATTTTCCGTGGCGAGAAAATTTACACACGATTCTCAACAGAGGGATCTCTGCCAATTTCTCTTCCGGGAAACTCATTCGTGAAGCCTCTTAATTCGAATCGGGCTCCTTGAATGAAATTCCCGGGAGATTGAAACACGCTCCCGAGCGGACGCGAAGATTTTCCGAACGGTCGGTTAGTCTCCGAGGCATTACGAAAGTCTCCAGTCGAGCGGGTGCGGGAGCGTACTCCGCTCCCCCTTCGAATCGGGAGAGTTTTTCCTCGAAGAGCATAAGGGATTCATCCAAAAAACATGAATGAGGATTCGGCATCGATGACGTCACTCCGGCGAAGCCAGCCAATCGCTACTGACCGATACGGTCAGTCGGAGACCGAAATTCCCGAGCCATTTGCATGGGAGCAACTTGCCAAGGCCGAATCCCCCTCAATATCCGGAGACCAGAAGCAATAGAGGCCATGAGCGATCTAAATTTAGCAACTTATCAAATTCCCTCGCAGCATCCCTAGTGGCCTACGGTCCACATTCTCGGCCTCCGCTGGCCTTGTTCTCCCGTTGAGAGACGACGGAGACGGCGACGACGGGGGCGACCACTGATGACGCGTCCTAGTCGCTGTTTAGCGACACGAGATCCATCTGGGACTCCGGATTCGGATGGAGAACTTAAACATTAATCACGATTCGTCGCTCTCCCGCCGTTCTTAACGATGCGATGCGAACGAGAAACGACGGTGAGTACGGAGCCCCACGGCCTCGACGACAAACGAGGCGATCCAAGTCTCGAAGCACTTTCGCTGGAGTGCGAAGTCAACGCGAGATTTGCGAGACGCTTTGACGGAGACGGTGTCGCCGTCGATATTGAAGTTTCGCCACGGAGCCAATACCTTCCTGCCCGATCAATGCAAATACTCCACGTTTTTTCCCTCGACTCAATGAAGGCCGAAGGACATCATCGCCCCGGGCTCCTGAGACCTGGATGTCGCCTGGTTGGCTCGCTCTTTCACTCGCCCGGCCAACAGCTAGCTGGCCGGGCGCCCACCCGCTCGTCTGCCCGGGCGCCCACCCGCTCGTCTGCCCGCCTGCCCGACGGGCTTTGAGGCCAAGGACGGCCATGCGCAAACACTCGACAAACATCCATCAAACTCCTCTCGAAAAACGCGTCGTTCGCCCCTTCTCCTCGACCCGCGGAACACCTGCCACCTGCCTCGGACTTCAAGAGTCCCCTCAATCGAGTTCTCCATCTTTTACGAAAACCTGGAATCGTCGGAACGCCGCCTCTTCCTCTCGTATTCATTCTGCGACGGGGGGAGAGGGGGGCGGAGGGGCTGGAGGAGCGGGACTTGCGAACGAGGACCAGGGAGGGGGCAGCGACCAGATCGGTCGAGATATCGAGTGCCTGAGTAGGAGTGACTTGGCTGGATGTTTGTCCGTTTCCCTGCGGTTGACACGCGCGGCTCAACGAGGTGGTGCGAGTTCTCAATGGATTTTCCTCTAAGAGAGAGGGATATATCCTCTTCTGATGAAAGGAGGCTGGACGCGAAATACAGGAGACGCAATAGCAGTTTCTATGGAAACGAAAAACCTCCTTGACGTCATGAGAACTTGAAAGGAGTTGAGGGTCGTCCGTTGAGAGCGAAAGGTCTGCTCCCGCGCACACTTCGGCAGCCAAGCGAACGGCCTTCACGCACGGCGGCGTGGACGAGGAGAAGTCAGGCGGGAGGGACCTTTCGGAAACCTTTTTTCCTCTCTCTCATTCGACATTGTCGATGCAGCGGCAGCGGCCGCTGCCTTCGCCCCTTTCACTGGAGCGCCTATCCCTGCGAGGAGGATCGCCGCTATTCTCTCGAAAACTTGTCAAGTCGAGGATCTTTTTTCAAACGAATGATGCCCACGATCTTCAGGAACCATTCGAGAATCAGCAATGATCGCGCGAGTCTGGTCGGGTCTGGCGCCGATTCGGTGAACCGAGCCATCAGTCAATCGAGCAAGCGCTTCAATCGATCAAAACATTCGCGAGTAGATTCTGTCAATCACTTTATGGCATCAGACAGATCCCCAACGGAAGCGTCCGAGACGCTGCCCTTCATCGAATGCAGGCCCGGCGCTGGATAGACGCCATGGCAATTGTGCGTCGAGGCTGTTGAGCTGTCGAGGTGTTGGCCTACTCATATTTCAAGGATTGGGACCTCGCGACGACGACGAATTGTCGGGGATTTTTCACGCAGAGCGTGGAGCTAGTCCTTAAAATGGGTCATTCCCTAATCCGCGGGATCTAGAACGAGACGGCGCGGCGCGGATGACGCCGACGAGTAATGGACCCGTTACGATCTTATCCTGAGTTTCGCTTCGGTCCCCCCTCACCCGACCCGCTGAATCTCTCATCGCTCTCGTCTGTTGGAACTCCGAATGCCGAAACCCATTCCTTCCATCGATTGGTGACAGACGTCTCGTCCGATTCATATGCGGCTCATCGATTCTCCATTCAGCCGACTTCCATCGGGAACCTTCCCGTAGGGGACGGAATATTCCTGGACTCCATGACTGCATGGCGTCACGACATCCACAACGAGAGTGGATTTCTTCCTCGCTTGAAGTTTTGAGTTCGAGTGCCGCATCGAAGGCTAGAGAGCACTGAGTGCTCCGAGGGCTTGTCCGGCATCTAGTGAACGAAAAAGGATCCGGGCGCACAAGCGTCGGACCAAGAGGGATGAGAGGTGAGGCTTCTCCCCGTTCACGATCGAATCCGAGGCGGACTATGCGACTGTCGTGGCGTCGGAACCCTTGACGTCGCACAGTTCTGACGTATCATCACGTGTCCGCGCGCCCTCTCTCACCCATTCGATCCATTCCTCTTGCTCATTCCCCCTCCCATCTCCCGCCGTTCATTCCGCTCTCGTCTATTTCGCAATGATAGGAATATGGAGTATGTTTTCTGAATGGAGTCCCATGGGACATAGTCCAGAATTACTTCAGCCCGTAAGTCAGAAGAGGATCCTCATCGGAGAGACAATGGAACCAGATTTCGAAATCGTTCCTGGACGAGTTTCCCGAGACGAGGTTCCTTTCCCACGGGAAGAGCCTTTCATCGATTAGAACGCAGCCGCAAGCTCGAGCTCCATTAGCGGATTAGAGAGAGATGGGACGACAGCGGGGAAGTCGAGACTGACGCCAAAATATCACATAAGTCTGGGACAAGATTCCATCTCGGGTTCCGCCGCGGGCAACTCAAAAGAGAGTGTCGCAATATCCGTGCATCGAAACGCAGTAGACTCTGATCGGAGCCGAGTGAATCGA